ATTAGTGGGGTCAAAGGGGTGAAGGGATAGATGGTTACGGGACATACGGTAGATGGTGAGGCATCTCAGTGCGTCAATGTGTGCTCGATTGCTCGTGCCTCAATGTTTTAGTGGGTGCCTCAATGACGAGAATCGGACATGCCCGTTGTTGAGCAGCGTTCACTAACTTAATGTTTCTGGCTTTTTGATACTGTCTGCTTAGCTTGAAGTGCAGGTATTTAGGGAGCTATTTATTTTTTTTTTTTTTCGAGGATACCATCCCAAATATTATCAGCGTAATGTCACCAAGGCCCAGGGGTTTCCACAGGAATTGAAATGAGGGGGTTGTTTAAATTTAAGGGGGGGGGGGGGGGGGGCATTGAGAATAGAGGAGTCGTTGCGAATTAAGGGGGTGTTGCACCCACTCCCCCCCCCCCCCCCCCCCCCCCCGCTCCCCCCCCCGCTCCCCCTTTAGGCGTAGGGAAATCGCCGCCGAGGCCGTTTCCGGCCAGGTTTGTCGACGAGGCGTCGACCAGACGGCTTCGATGAAGCGATTAATTGCTCCGCCGGTTCGAGGGCCATGAGGACCTCGCGACGGCCCTATGCGCACGCACGCACGACGCACTCGAACTCGGAAGTCCAACTAAGGCATCTCGTCTGGTCGGTCGGCAAGCGTCACCGGCGTAGGCGTGCCGCACGCCCACGTGCGACTGGCGCGGAGCCGAGTGCCGGGAGGAACCAGAAAGCCCAAAGCCGTTTCTTCGAAAGGGCCCTTCCTCGTCCTCGATAGCCCGTAGCTGCGATCGCCATGTGCCTGGGCATGTCCCCGCCGGCGGGCCCCGCAGACCTGGCCGCTTTCGAGTACGCGTACGAGTTCGCGGTGCGTCTCGATCTCAACTTTTACTTTTACCACGTCGGAGATACACCGTGCGGATTTTGGACGGCACGCGTGACGGCCGACGTGACGAACTGGTGGTAAGTGCGTGAGCTACTCGTGGCCGGACCCTGTCCGAACTGATGACTGGAGATGTTGCTATAGGCGCGCATGTAGTTGTGTCAGTGGCGCAGGCCTCGATTGCTCTCAGCTGGCATTTGCATCTTTCGCTCTTGCTGAAGAGAAGGTTGACTTGACGTGAAATGCGATGTTTAGGACTAACTCTGAAACCACTAGGTTTACTACGGTTGATCGAACGCCATTTCATCGAAAGACGTTTTAGAGAACGGACGCGTTTTATCGAAGCTCGGCTTAGAGAAAGTGGAACATCAGTTTAGAGAAACGCCGTTTATCGAAAAGGGAAAGCTGTTTAAGCCCCCTCCCCGCGTCTACGCCGCTTCGCAGCAGCAGTCTGCGGCGGCTCATCACAAAAATGTCAACTCACCTGACCCATCCGTACACGCCGGTCGATTTCGCTAAAAGAAGGCTCGTCGCCATTCTCTCTAAACTGGGTTTCTCTAGAAAGGGATTTGATAGCTGGGGTCGGTAAAACGGCGTTCGCTAAAACAAGCTTCTGTAAACCGCATGCTTCCGGAACTCCATTATTCTGGTTTGAGAGATACGTTTCATGAACTTGCGTGGGCGTGGTAGGGTGCCTACACGTTTCCGCCGCTCCGGAGCGGAAACATGTCGACACCCTAGGCAGAGCCCGAAACGTTATTTTGGTGGCCACTGGGGCTTATCTTTTGTACCCCAAGTTCGTGCAGCCTTCTCTCCCCTTTCTTAAGTTGCCTTTTAGTTTCACGAAGTCTCCCATCAATAAATCCTTGAACCCATCAATAAATCTCCTGACAAAGAGCACTGGTTCGTTCGAGAATAGTGGATTACGAGAAGTGTGTGGTTCGAGGTTTAGATTTTAAAAGGAATCGGGGGGCTTATATTTTTTGTAGTCTGAAATTTGCGCTTCTGAAATGTTTTGGAAAATAGCAGACTTCTTTAAGCTTTTGGTTTCATGCTGCATTTATGTATTCCGCATCACATAAACATTCGCTAAGGTTTGATGCAGTCCAAACTAGACAACCTTTAAAACATTGATAAAGACACTTTTTTTTTTATTTCTTTGCTTTGCATAGCATTAGTTCTCATGCCAGTCATAAAAATGCCATTAGTAGTTTCGAAAAAGTTTTGTTTCCTGCCGCATCGAAAGATAATTCGCAAATGACGCCTTGACGGCTAGACCTATCCAGGAATCCAGCGACGCCCCACTCTCGCGTTTATTTTTGCATAATCTGGCACATAACGCTTGCATAATGTTCCGCATTCTCAGTGGTACGATACCCTCGAGTGCCTGCGAAGATTTATGATGCATCAGTGTGCACATGACACGCAGGTAATATATTCAAATCAATTCCGTTGCTTGCGCAATTTGCTTTGAGCTATAGCAACCCTAGATCCTCGAGCACTTTTGCCCAAAAAATACAACAGTAAAAACCGTTACTTCGAATAATGCAGGAGATGTCTTTTTGTTTTCTTATGTCGCTATCTTGTCGCTTTCTCTTTGAAGCGATCCAAGGTTCTGTTTTGCATTCCTCACGATGGATGTGGATGCATTATTTTCAACTTTACAACCTTGTTTGTTGCTCAGCAGATGTGCTTGTCTGTGATATTTAGAAGTGTTCATGTTACAGTAATGTCTCTCCGAAAGGTTTCCACATGGTGTCACCAAAGTTTATGGCAGGCACAGGCACATTTTGGTGTTTCACTGCTGGCAGCATAGATTTTGAAAAAGGTCCACAAAAATACTTCTTTTTTTTGTGTGTGTGTGTGTGGGGGGGGGGGGGGGGGGGGCAGAGAATTTATATTTGAATAGACAGTGACAGGTCAATTAAAGAAGCCATGACTTTTGCAGTCTTCAAGAGATACGAAAACGAAAATTGAAATATACAAATTTTTTTCGGAATCGAGTCAAGCATGACGGATAATAACTGTAAATGATAATCATACGTTTGTACTGTATTTGGAACGACTGGCTATATTTTTCGTTCCAAACAAACTCGAGCAAGCGCTCGAAGAGAAGCGAACGGAGAGCGCGATGCGTCATAAAACATCCGGCACAAAAAAAAAAAAAAAAAAAAAAAAAAAAAATTGCATTTGTGACGTAACATGGTTGGCGTGGCTGAGTTTTGCCGTTGGTGGCGTCTACGCGTTTACAACCGAGCCGTTCGAAGTGCCCGTGGGGTGGCGAGCGTTTCACGTGTGAGATCAGTCATGCGCGTCGTGTTCGTGTGGCCCACTCTCCCCCTAGAAGATTAGCCCGTCGCTCAAAACTCGGACAAAAATTGCTTCCCCCATCCCGTTCAGCCCTAAGCTGACAGTGCTGTAGAAGCTACGTGCTCCTTGGGCCGGCCACACTTTTGCCACGGGATTACGCTCCCTCGCGCATACCCACGCGCTTCAGGACGATTTCGTTGGGAACATAAACTTGAACGACACAAGTGAAGATGATGACACCGACACCGCCCTCTCTAAATTAATTCGGAAAGGGGATTTGGAAGTACGCTCAACTTAAAGGGACCATGAAACTAATTTTGGGCTGGGATAAATAACTTTAAATTGGGATTTTGCTAGTAGAAAGTCACAAGCCTGACTTTCGATACAAAAATGCAGTATACTATTTCGTCTCTCCTTCCGTCCCTTCGAAAGCTCTCTGCCTTTTCACTGTGATACATCCGCGGTACCCAAAGTGCGTCACCCGGCCCAAACGCACGTAACCGACACCGGACCTCACTTATTCTTTTTACGCCCTAAGCTGACAGTGCGGTGGAAGCTATGCGCTTGTCGGACCAATCAGCCGCCTCCCTTTCATCACCTGACCTCATTCTGTGCGCGAAGGAGCGTGATCACGTGGCAAAGGTTTGGCTGGTCCAACGAGAACGTAGCTTCCGCTGCACTGTCAGCTTAGGGGTGAGCGGGTTGGGGAAAGCAACTTTTGTCCGAGTTTCAAACGACGGGCTAATCTTCTAGTGAGAATGGCGGTGTCCGGGTACACAAACGAGGGTCCGAGCAAAAGGGGAGTCCCACACTTCGGTCTTCTCAAACTGTTTGGTACAACGTGCGATTTGTGAGTTGAAGAGAAAAGCTAAGGAAAAAAGTTGAAAAATAGTTTCATACAGTTAAGCATACTTCCAAAGAGCAGCGATGCTCCGATGTTTAGTGTGGCTCAAAACGGTTCCTGCTACGTCATGGTCATGGCTCACGTAGCGAGATTCCCAACGTTGTTAGATTACCTCCCAACTAAGCTTCAGAGGCATCCACCAGGTTCACATTGGAATATTGTTTGATTAGCTTTTAGTCTGGTTTTGTTGTGCCTTTCAAGGAAAGACTGGTGTTTTTGAGATTATGCTGCAACATGCAACACGTTTAAGCTAGAAAATGAGCGCTGGAATTTAGTTTCCATACCTCTTTAATTTGTAGCGGCTTAAAAAAAAAAATGGGCTACCGTGAGTACTTTTTGAAGAGATCAATATGCGGCCTGCTCGTCTGAGTTTGCCTGGCCTTGGGCTATGATTATGTGGCAGGTGGATATTTATTTCTAGACTTTAAAACTTTCCTAGCAAAACCTTTTTTTTTTTAAAGGTTTCACTAAGAAACCTTAATTAGAAGATGCTTCTAAAGATTTCAGGAATGTCATTGGATAAGAGAGGTATTGCACCCATTAAGTGACATGGTTGCACTTCACTTTGTTTTAACACTACTCCCTTAAAATAAAAAGAAAGAAAAACGACATCATTTGGATTTGCTTTGTTAATATTTTTACTTGCTGGAACTTGAGAAATTTCCACCTAGTAAGCTTGTTCTCTTACGAACATATTTTCCTGCTCTATCGTCCAAATAGGCATTGCAGACTTTCGAGGTGGTATATAAATAAATTAGTTTATGCTGCAGTGAAACCGTGACTTTACCATGACTTTTTCACCTGGGGCCTTCCTCCGAGACAAGTGGGGGTGCAGGATAAAGGCAAGGCGACACTATTTCCCCCCCTTGCTGGTGTCTCGACGCCCATGGTACTGCCTGGTGTGTCTTGCAGGTCGGCGCTGCAGTCTCTACACAAGGCGTGTGCCAAAGCCAGGGAGTTCAACTACTTCCAGGGGGGAGGGACCCACCTGTGGGTGAACTACTATGCCGACAGGATACACTCGGACCAGTCGTGCCTCAACGAATGGTGAGCGGCCCCAGAAGGGCAGTTGACTGTTCACTGGGAGGCATAGTTGTCTTGACGTTTTGAGAGTTCCTCTGTTTAGTTGGTCATTGCAACAACAGCCTCACAAGTGGTTAAAATGAAACACCAGATGGACAACATCACAGATGCTAAAGGACATGATGTTCATGCTGCCTTTCTCAACCTTCTGCTGCATGTGGTAGAGAAACAGGGAATCGTTAGGGAATTCGGCAGAGGAGTATGGGAAGCCAGAAAAATGTTTGAAAGATGAGTTACCTGTTCATGCATCCTTTTCTCCCAATGAAACAGGCTAGGTTTTCGATTTTTAAATGGTACCTCACTTCTACTCATTGGCCAGCATTCTAACAATATTAGCAGATCCTCCTAATGTAAACTGAAATTACTCAACTCACAAAAATTTTATTAGTATGTGGGAGCCTGGTGAACTATAATTGTCACTCAAAGTTTTAGACCCCCTTGGTTCTTAAAGGGTTATTGTAAAGAAAAAAAAGGTTTTTAAACAGCCTAATTGGGACAAGCATACCACAAAACAAATTTTGCGTGAAAAAAAAAAAAAAATTTACAGCAATATTTATTGTGAGAGACTGATTTTAGTTCAGCTATATCGTCCGTTTTAACTCGCGCGCCACAAAGTTGGTATTATACGTCACGGAGTGGTTACTATACGTCACGAAGTGACATGCAATAGCAACTGTTCTCATTGGCTAAGAGATTGATTGACAGCTTAGATCTTGGTTGTTAAACCTTTGTGATATGTTGTAATTTCCTTTTGAGCGACATATTTTTATGTTCAAAGAATAACCCAAGAATAACCGAACGTCTGCGACTCAGACACAGGGCGGTCCCGACACTTTAACTACTGAGCGTCCCAAAAGCTCGGGAGGCTCAGGCGGTGCACCGTCTTTGTTGCTGGCAGCCGTCCTTCGCGGCATATCTTCATATGGCCGAAGACCCAGTTGCTCGCAGCGGCCAAGAAGCTGAAGCTTCAATTCACGGCCCATTTCGCGCGCAGTTCGCACAGAACACAGAAGTTACAAAAGGCTGTGATAGCACACAAAGACGCACCGGGAGACGAGACACTGCTTTTTGTTGTTCAACTTCGCAGCGAAGTCAATCCAAGAGCGAGGAGCGGGGCACCGCGCAATGCGAAAGAGCGGGAGTTCCAAATGTGGAGAGGTTGTGACTACTAAATTACACCCTGTAGTGCAAATATTGGTAAAAAAACTTTTTTTTCACGAAAGATTTGTTTTGTAACATGCTTTTCTCAACTAGGCTGTTTAAAAAAAACACATTTTTTCTTTTGCAGTTACTCTTTAAACGTAGTAAGAGAATTTTGCACAATTAGCAGGGCAAAAGCGTCAGGGGATATAGGAATGTGATTAATAGGCTAGCTCCTATTTAATTCCCTTCTAACTTCTGCAACACTTTATTTGTGAAGGTTCCTTTTTTTAATTTTGTGTTTTTGCTTAAACTCAAAATATTAGCAACTACACTTTAGATCGTTTTGAGTGGTCTCTTCTGCAAAGAACAGTCTTTCCTACAAAATAGAACACTGCTGCATAAAAGTTTTATCTCTGCACAGTCGTCAAAACGGGCAGCATTTGGGCTCTGGGAAGGGCAGTACAACATTTGCAACCTTGAAATGCTAAAATGTTTCTAAACCTTCCTATTTTCTTCTGTGTTCAGTTAATAGTATACATGAATGGTGCTTACATCTGCATGTCAATATCCAGCAAAACTAAACAGATTTTACAGTTAGTGATAGTGAGCATGTCATACGAAGCAATGTGGCAACCTGCAACATGAACCACTTATATACTTCTTTATTATTCTGCATAACTTTGCTTGCTCTTAAAAAATGGCTCTCCATTAACAGTTTAGATTACCTATGTTTTTCAGGCATGCTATGGACGACCTGGTGTCAAGAAGGCCGCCAACTCCAGACTATGATCGCTCAAAGTAAGCCTGCTACTTTTTCACAAAAAAATTTTAACTTTAAGGGTTTCTATTGCTGCAAATAAATTGAATTCAATTCAATTTATTGCATTGAATACATGTGAATAGTTTAAGTAAAGAGCTGGGGTACTGCAACCTCCGAAGCAGTTATTTAATTTTGCATTGTTTTATATGTGGTTATAAATTTCGTGCTTACCCCAGGCAATAATGTTATTACTGGATGTGGCACTATTACAAACAATACCTCTTATGACAAAATTTTAGATTTTTAGAGTATTTAATTTTTCTGTATTTGAGAAAAACTAAAGGAGGTGTAGCTTGCTCTAGCAGAGGCTTTTTTGAGTTTTTGTGTACATAGCTATTTAAATGAGCATTGATAACTTGTGGGCTGGTGTTTATCAATATCATGGTGGGAGCTTTGTGTGCTGGTTACTTTCTAGCTTTGCCTTTACTAGTTCTTGCTTCATCTTGCTTGTACTCCAATGCTGTATCTCATTTTGGGACTGTCATGTGCTAGGTTGCTCTGTAAAAAAGGCTGTATAAAAAAATTGTAGTTCCTAGAATGCTGAAACATTTGGTTACTCTAATTTTGTTGTGCTGCCCTCTGTCAAGGATTGTTTTGTGTTACCATGCTTGAAGAATTTAAAGTATTATATAACATTTTTTCTCTTGCCACTGCTGATTTCTGAGGTTTCAAATGTATTTTGAAATTATTAAGATATCCAATTGAAATTCATTGCACTGCTTTCTACAGGCCAACAGAAAAGGATGAGACGGAGGCCCTCATCAGAAGCAAGTTGAAAGAACTCATGATGTCTGTGGACCTGGACGAAGTGACCAGCAAATTCGTAAGACATGTCTTGAAATCTAGTCTTTACTCACTGTCACAGAATCGCCCATATGTGTATGCTGCGTTTACACATCCATTTCTGTAATATAATATATTTGTTTTGCTATTGTGTAGAGTTTTGTGTATGGGGGGCAGATCAGGAAACTTGCGTAAACTGAATAAGTAATTCCTGGTGAAGTGAGTGTACTGCTTTAGTTAAAGGGGTACTCCACCGTTTTTTTGAGCTACCTCAACTAACTATATTTTCTGACTCCCCCCGGCCTTTACTATTTAGAATCGCTATTTAGAATCGCGAAATTTATAATAGTTATTGCGAAATCGGCAAATGAAAATGATGCAAAAACCAACATTCAAATATACGCGCGCTTTTCAGGGCCGTGACGTCATTGGCAGGCAGGCTTGCCAGTCGAGCCAGCAGCCAAAAAATAGAATATGCCAATCATTCGTTCCGTGCTGGAGCGCGGGTGCTGCAGCGAGCTTCCCAAGCATTCATTTGACACCATGAAACTGCTTCGAATCAGTTTAAAACAAAATCTACAGCCCAAAGAGTGAACCCCTGCCTTCCACTGACATCACTTTTTCATTGTTGCCAGTAGAGACTTCGAGCTTGAAAAACACGGTGAGGACCAAAACTGTAAATTCAATAATTTCGCGAAAAAACAATATTTTGACCTAATATTTGGGATACTATTTTCGCGATGTTTGTTGGTTAGTTTAGCAAAATTTCAAGCAAATCGTAGACAATGAATAAATCGGTGGAGTAGCCCTTTAAGGGGCACTAAGACAGGATAAGTACATGAAACAGTTGTGTTATGTGCTTGCCAGTCTATTCGCGACTCCAGCGACCTATAGGGAACACCACTATCGGGCAAATATGGCGGCCATGCCATGTGCCAGCTCAACGCGCAACGCTGGGGCTCCAGCAAGTAAGCATTGGGCTCAAAATTGGTTCCCCCGCGTTTTATCTTTCACATTTCGGTGTGTTGGGGTAAGCGAACTTCCAGAGGCTTGACTTTCTTCGAGGAAACGAGGAAAGGACTGCCCACTGTCCTTCCACAGTGCTGATGAACGTTGATAAACGCAGAATGTCCAGCTCACGCGGGTATGTAGGTCGCGTGCAGAGCAACCTGGGTCACAAGGCGATACTACGGTTTTGACACAGTCACTGGTAGAACTGTTCTGTCGCGCAAACCACTGACAACATGTAAACACGGAAGCCAGAAGAGACGAGCAGAAATCGCGAAGGGACCTGTTCCGGCCAGTTCAGTGTTTTTCCGCTAGGTGCTGTTCGTTTTGCTGAAGTCGCGAATATAGTGTACTTACCTTTGCTCAGTACCTCGGAGACATAATCAAAGCCCCAAGGAAAGCTGAGAAACATTCCAGTGTTCAGCGATAGTCGATGCACGTTTGCAAGTTTGGCTTCAGGGCGCTGCCATCTTCCTTGACTGGGGTCCGCTTGGGCGAATCATAATCCGATTACGAAGCCTTGTAAAGTGTCATAATCGGATTATGGCCACGCTCAAGAGCGCACCCCGCTGAGGAAGATGGCGGCGCCCTGAGACCGGATTTGCAAATGTGTTTACGTAAGCAGGTTACAATTCTCTGTGCCTTTTAGTCCCCTTTATGTTTGCGAGGAAATTCAGATGAACAGGATTCTTTTCACTTTGCATGTCCACATGTAGTAATAATTTGTTAATAAGAATTTCTTTACTTTATAATTCAACTTTACCTAATAACGCTCCTGAGTGGGACTTGAACAAATTTTTGGGGGGCCAGAGGTGCATGGATACTTGACTGCACTCTTAATGCTTAAACAGAAATGTGGTCATATAGTTAAAGGGACCATGAAGGCAATTAGGAAGTTTTATTTGAGGATTGAAATGGGCGTCAGAAAAGTTTCAGATGCTTTTGACCAAGTTCTAACCCGAGCAGAAGTTTGGGGGCTGCACCAACGAATTAAACAGGTGTGGTAATAATCGTGCTGGGAACAATGCCAGAGACCCCTTGAGACAGCGGCATAAAAGTGGTCTGCGTGACGCTGAAGCATGACGACAACGGGCTCCTCGTCAGGCAATTGGTTTAAACAAATGATGCTCTCTTGGCGTTGCGTCGTCGTCAGTGAGTCGGGCAGAGAGTTGGGAGAGTTGCCCGCTCTGAGGCGGCGACCGAGGCGTCGGTGGCAAGTCTGGGGTGCCCTCATAAAGTGCTAATCCAGAGTTTTGCATCCTGAGAAGCATCTTTCATTCCGTTGGTGTGAGGTCGCTGAACAGGAGCTCCAAATCGTCTGCAAGTGCGGCGTTGTCATCCATTCTTCCAGTTCACAGACTACCGTGCACGATAGCCAACCGCAGGGACCGCACTGAGCGTCCACTAAACCCTCCCGAAAGCCAACAGTGCTCCTCAACATCACTTTAGAAAGTTTGTTTCGGTTTAGCAAATTTATTTGCAGGCACAAATATAAGAGTCGCATAGTTGTAAAAAAATTTAGTGGCATGCTGAGACCCCAATAACACCTTGTTTAAAAAAATAATTTAAAATTGCCTTTATGATCTTTTAATTCCTATATGTTACCATATGTCCCAGTCTTTAGATAGATTGTTTGTAAAGTTAATGTATCGGTAAAAGCAGTTCCTAGGCTAAGGGTAGATGCCATTGTGATCCCCGTTGTTACAAAATCACTGCATTTTCTATTCGCCTCGAGATCGAACCGTGTCGCCGCCGTGCGGCCGAAGTTGGAAACGCGCGAAAGCGGGGATACCGCCGTGCGTCGTCTGCTACGGGCGCACGCTCAGAGCATGGATCTCGACGACGCAAGCCCGTTTCAGGCTGAGCTTGACATTCCTTATTAAATGTTTTATGTTTTTGTTGCCGTTTCTTCTTACTAAAGGTTGTATTTTATCGTTTCCCATGCGTAGAAATTCAGCAAAGCCATTATTATTAAGTCGGAAGCTTCCATAATCTTTGTGCGTTGGTTTGTATACAATCGCGGCAGGGTCCCACGTATTTTTGTTATCTCGCACAAACCGTGGCTTCCATAAAGCATTGAATGTTGAGTGGGTCTGTGGTTTGATTAGAACATTAACCCGACTGATCGCTATCCTTTAATAGACTAATCAATCAATAAATCCGTATGTTGATTTTTCGCCGGTAATATTGCGTGAAAGGCGTTAAAACTACACAATTTTTTTTCTGGGTTTACTATGTCCTAAATGGCATATTGCATTCCCATTCTAAACTTCACGTTATGACTCCTACAGAAATATGAACATGGGAGGCCTTTTAAAGTGAAGTATTTTTTAAAGTTATTATTTAAACGGTATTATCACCCTCGGTGAAATGAAAAGCACGCTGAAGTGGTTTACCGTGCAAGCCTGTATTACAAAAGAAATAAAGACGTCAAAAATATTAAAGCAGACATTTTTTACTCCTTGTTGACTTTCTCCAGCACAAGACTCCACTTAACCGGCAAAAACAAATTGCAATTAAAGCATTACTTGAATAATCTGAAAGTTAATCGATGAATTGCCCAGTCCCGATATGCGTTAGGTGAGGGCGGAGGGTGATCAGAAAGGTCTCGTGAAGGTCGCTAGCCCTTATCAGTAAAAAAGTATCACTGCGGCCGATGCTGTCTGTGTCGTGGTGCGCGTCGTTTGTTGGGGTTGCAGAGTTTACTGTGTTTGAATACAAGATTATTTAGCAAGAAATTTATAGTATTAGACTCTTGACATCCGCGGCCCTCACCGAGAAAATTGAAGCGGGTGAACCCACAGTACCGAAAAAAACATTTAATAACAGGAACATTGCTGCGTTGCTCGGTTACACTCGTTTATTACAGTCAAGGTAGATATATTAGAACAGTTTGTTTCACTTGTTTCAGTTGTCCTGCCAACCGTGCAGTTTGCAGGGGGGCTATGTTCGACAAATATTTCGTTTCTCCTAAAAAGAAACGTGACAGAAGTGACGATGTCACGTCTGATTGGTTAGAAGCTCAAATGACGAAAGAGGGAAGTTTCGTCATTTGAGCCTCTAACCAATCAGACGCGATATCGTCACTTCTGTCACTTCCGTTTCTTTTTAAGAGAAACGACACATTTCTCGAACATAGCCCCCCAGATCTTAACTAGAAGAGACACACCCTCCTCATCGCAACGCAGTAGATTTGTTCAGATTCCAAAAAACTTACCCACATAATGGCACAGTAAAAGAGCAGAGGAACTCAATAGCATGGTAATTTCTAATGCAGCGCTAACTTATCTTCATTCTAAATATTTATATTACTGCAAAAGCTAGAAGTTAAAAAACCGCATAGAAGCTGTGATTTCACAGCCCACAGTACCAGTATTTTGTTATCTGGGTTGGAATTTATTGTTGTTTTTAATTCCCACTTTGATGAATCGATACGCACATTTTAAAAGGAACAAATATTTAACACAAATATTCCAGTTCAGCCGGAGACAGGCATCAGTCGTGGTGATCCATGCTTTCCAACGTCTGCCTAGAGCAGACGACGCACCCACAGAAGCGATTATATAAATTTAGGCCGCACGCTGGCAACACGATCCGATCTTCACTGAAGCACCGAACAGTACCGCATCCTTTTCCGCTAGAATTGTTTTACCACCGATAGTATGCGACAAAATAAACGCAAGAATCTACGCCGTTTTGCGCGCGAACGTGGAGAGCCTAAGGGGCGGCCGTTCTCCTATCCCCGCTTTGATGATGATGATAGCGCGACCGTAGCGCCACCTCTAGGTCGATCTCGAGGCCAATAGCACACGGTGCCACCTTGTAGTGAGTCGGACACAGTGTTAAACATGTTCCTCAAAAAAAAAAAAGGAATGAAAGCTCGTTCCTTCTGATTTTTGGAACGCGTTCCCGTTACAAGTTACATCTGTGAAAAAGGAACTCATTCCCGTTACAGTTTAAGAAATGGAACGTATCGTTACATATACGTTACATTTGTATTTTGCTAATTACTATATTTAGTTTAATCATGCAGAGTATTTTTCTTATCTATCCCATTAGTAGTCAACATAAGAGTTTGTATGTCATTATGGAAGGGCAACAGTAAAAGAAAACAAGCGGAAGCAGGGTTTCAATTGTTGATATATTCAAGTTAAAAATCTCAGCTTTTAACCATATTCATGTTTGTAGTGGACGATTCAGACGAGCCGAATGTACTTTTACCCAACATTGTACGAGCGTTTTCGGGCAACCTCACACGTTTCAATTGAGCAAAGTCCCTTGTTCGAACTTAACAACAGTTGCTTCTCGATGTTGCTGTCCGCAAGACGAGCAAGTCGAGCAGAGGGTAGGGCTTTTGGAAGGTCAGTCAGTCTTAAAAACTACAAATACTTCTTTGTAAGGTTGGCTTTGTTGTTCGTTTTGAAGGAGGGGGAAGAAGAGAAGAAATAATGGTAATTTTTGTGCATATGTGTATCTTTTAAGTGACCAATGTTCGGGATACCAGGGTGCCTTCAATGTCTGGCAGTCTGTGATCTTGTTGTAATTGTAGGTCTCGTTATGGAAGTTCACAAGTGGCTGTAATCGGCCTTAGATTTCTGGGTGTATGAGGATTCGTGGAACCAAAGAAAGTAGCTGAGCTTGAAACATCCTCTTCTTTGTCTTTTCCTACGACTAAAAGTCTTGCTTTTTGTACCGCAGTTTGGAGCACTCAAAAAATAATCAATGTCCACCAGCTCTCCTGCACCTCAAAACTGTTAGCAAGCGAGGACCACACAAAATAATCCACAAGATTAGTAGCCAAAAAGGTAACGAGATCCTGCACTTCGCAAAGATATTGTTTTTGTACTTCCAAAATTTCCCTGTTCGAAACAAAATAAAAATTACCCCACTGGACGAAAAAAAAAGGAACGCCATTACTTTTTCCGTTCCAATAAAAATGTAACAAGTTTCTGTTCCAGTTCCAGCGATGCCAAATGGAACGGCGGCGTTCCTTCGTTCCTCCTAAAAGGAACGCGTTCCAGGAACACCGTTCCGTACAACAGTGGTCGGACACTTATTGGTGATTTTGTCCTGCTTTGTGGTGCCATGTCGGCAGGACGCCGTGAAACATGGCAGTAGCAAAACTTTTGCATCACTTGGCCTTAACCAAGGACGTGGTCAGCTGGGAAAATCTGCCACTTCAAGCCGTCATGCTTCTTTCGTTTGGTTCAATGCCTTTAGCTCTCTCAGCACCGATGTGTTGGTTCTCAACACTGTAGTGTTGGTTCTTAACACTGTAGTGTTAGTTTGCAACACGGATGTGTTGGTTCTTAACATTGATGTGCAAGTTCTCGACACTGCTGGTATGTGTGCTCATTTGTGTTTCTGTACCTGCACACAGATCCGGACTCGTCTGGAGGAAGAGCTGGACATGAGTTTGCGTGAATTCAAGCCCTTCATTGACCAGGAGATGCTCACCATCCTGGGGCAGATGGACGCTGCCACCGAGATCCTCGAGTACCTCTACCTGGGCTCGGAGTGGAATGCCTCCAACCTGGAAGAGCTTAAGGACAAAGGGTAAGGCTCTTTTCCTCCTCCTTCTTTGCCTAGAAAATGACTCTAGAGTCTATTGCAGGTTAAGAAAAGTAGGACAAGCCCCACCTACAGAGCTCTCCCCTTGCCATGATTGGTGATTTCTTCCTCACCTATCACCTCCTCTCCAGTGTTTGCTCTGCTTAAGTGGAGAAATTTAAGGGCTTTGTGGGAGGCACCTGTTTTGCTTTTCTTAACCTGCAGCAGACTGCAGAGCCACTGGATAGTCTCAGTGTGCCGACAGTGCAGTCTCATCCGGTAGTGCAAGCTTCCAGCCGGCATCACGACCTTATTAGCACTATGTCATGTCCCCCTACATGTGCATTTATGTATAGCCTGTGAGTTTGAAGATGTGAATCAAATCAGCCTAGCTGATGGCAAAAACAATGTATTTATATGTCTTGGGAAAGGATTATAAAAAAATAAAAAGTCCGACATTTATGAGCTTTTAGAGATTTTTGTTCAATGCTTGTCTGTTTCAACTCGTGGCAGTGTGATTGTAAGCAAGCATTCAATCGGACAACTCTGCATTTTTCCCTAGCAGACACCCTACTCTTTTTCCTAGTAGAGACTACAGATCTCTGGAGACTGGATACTTCTGGAGACATAAAGACAGCCAGTACAAAAGAAATAATACCGTATTTACTCGCACAATGAACGCACTCGCGTAATGAACGCACCCCCCAAGTCGGCTCTCAAAATCAGGGCTGCCCTCTATTAGAAGGGCAGGCTGAAGATCCTTCCCCCTCTGACATGTTCTCTGTTCTTTAATTGCAGTGTTGGACACATCCTCAATGTTACGCGGGAGATTGACAACTTTTATCCTGGACTGTTTGACTATTTCAACATTCGTGTATATGACGACGAGACGACCGAGATGCTGAAGCACTGGGATCGGACGTACAAGTATATTGCGCAAGCCAAGTAAGCTATTCTCATTGCTCCTTTTGCTGTGTTGCTGACTTTTGATCGTCTACAGCAGGGGTTCTCTAACTTTTTGGCCTCACGGAACCCCAGGAAGCCTCAAAAACTGCCGTGGAACCCCCCCTTCCATATTTGCCAACTGAGAAGCAACAGATGCACAATTGTACGCTATTTTGCTTGTGTTGCTTCCCATATATCCCCACCATATCAATCGCAATGTCAGTACAAAGTGAGATGATGATGCTTTGCATGGTCCTGCCGCACAGCCTGTGGCATGGGAGGGGGGGGGGGGAAGGGAGGGTTGCAATTTGGGTGTTCGCGGAACCCATGAGACCAGCTCGTGGAACCTTTGTGTTCCCCGGAACCCAGTTTGAGAACCCCTGGTCTACAGTGTTACTAATTTGATTGTGCTTAAAGTTTGTTGCTTTAGATTTACAACTGAAAGAACAGTGGTGTAGCAGATTTCAAAAGGTCCCTTCAGCAGGTTCAGGCATCACTAGTTTTTGAAATTGAAACACTGAGAGTTTACATGTAGCTTGTTAACCTTCCGTCTACAGCTGATCGCCAGGAAAATTGCATGAGAATATTTATGCAAGCTTCGAGTAGTAGGGTCGTATGCTTTTTTGAAATGTTTGAACTCTAGGTACTTTCTCAAAACCACACTGATAATTGAGTCAGAATGCCTAATGGTTAGATGTGAATACTATATAGTACTGCTTAAGCTTAAAGGGAAGCTGAAGCAGTTCTGTATTCAAGTAAAACTGCTTAAATCTTTTTCATCTGGCCTCCAGGATTATGAATATCGAGATCATTTTTCAATTAGGGGCACGGAGGTTGCAGAAAATCATTTTCAAAGTACCGCTGAAGCCCCTCCTTCCCGGAGAGTTACGTTATGAAAGGAGTCTTCGGAATCTCTGCTCTTGCTCATCTTCAGTGCCTGCCAAAGCTATGCACGCGCACTTTTGCTATTTTCACTTAGGTCAGAAAGCGACATCGCAACTGGTGTCAGTGCGGGGGAATATACTCGGTAACCTTGCAATTGCACACAAGTAATACGTGCTTAGCAGCCGAAAGATCTTTTTATGACGTAACTACTGGCCGGAGGTTTTTCGTGTTTTCTCGCATTTAGTTACATTTTCGGGGAAAATCAACGTGATATTAAGATTCACCAGATAAAAATACTCTAAAATTCACCTCTCTTTTTTTTTTTTTTTTTTCAAGAGCTTCTTTATCTTTTTTTGAAAGGGGCACCGAAGTGCTTCTTGTAGATGCTTGTTTTTGATGGAATATTGTTTGTTTCGCTTTAGTCAATGAAAATAACGAGTTCTAGATGGCAAAACGTTTTAGGAAACTCGCAGAAATAGAAATATACGGGCACTATTTTCTCTTGCGGGGGGGGGGGGGGGGGGGGGGGGGGGGGGGGGGGGGGGGGGCGCGGAGGCGCGGCGGCGGGACTGTATTTTCGGGTCCCCACCACCTCCATAAAATTTGACCGATGAAAATATTTAATTGCGTGGAGGTTGCGAATGTTACTATTGGTGACATTTTTTAGACGCATTGTGCATTATATTTTGACAAAACCGTCAAATCTTTGGGTGTAGGAGACGTAATACAGCAGTTATTGTTTGAGAACGGTGTCTGACCGCACCCCCTCCTAGACACAGAAAGTGGGGCATGTCTCAATCTTTGATTAGATCTTTAACAGAGAAATCAGCCGCCCACGAGTGTAATTTTGGTTTTTTTTTTAGGATGCTTAGAGCCCATAGATTGAGTTATCACCATAAACAGACACTCTCAGAATCCACTTGAGTTTAAAGGGATACTGCAACGAAATTCAAGCACCTATTTTATTGTCTAAATGTCAACCACATTCTGGCCACACCACAGACACCAATCTTTTGCTCAAAAAGACACCAAAACATTATTTAAAAGGAATAGAGTTAATGTTGTTACGTCACCATGCACTTAAAAGCAGCACCGCTCCGTGGAAGTATGGCAGCAAGCTGCATGCGCACAAGCCCTGTCTAACCGGATTTTCCTTCTCTCCCGGCCTATTCAACTCTTGCGGGGAACGGGGAGAGGCTACTAAAAATGCCCAGGTTGTAACGCGTTGACGACGTCGAGTGGTGGAGCTCATAACCACGCCAGCCCCCAAGCAGTTTTGCTGGTGCTGGACCACTGACGTCACATCTGTGATGTCAATTGGCCCAGCCCCTACGGTGCATTGCACTCTTCAACGGCTGATCTTCGAGCACTTGATCGAATCGGTACTTTGGAACAAAAAATATAGTCATCCGTTCAAAGTACAAGCGTGCAACTGTCACTGGCAGGTAGAGTTGATCATGTTAAACTCGTTTCTGAACGTGAGGGGTATATTTTAAGTTTCGATTGAGTACCACTTTAATTAAGAAACACAGGGCATGGCAGGTCCTGAGTGATTTATTGCCCCACAACCAACGAGATTGCAGCATTAGGCGATAAAAATGCGAAAGAATGAGTCGCGAGGCAAAGGGCCCAAATGAAATAAGCCACACCAGTCATTTTTTGGGTGGTCGGTGACCGTAGCTACCACCCTTTCCATTTCCCAATGGTTGACCCTTAAAAGCTTCCATCTCTGTGTCACACTGCATCTTGCCCCATTCTCTCGCCTCGCAGAGAGCAGGGTTCCAAGGTTCTGGTGCACTGCAAGATGGGCATCAGCCGGTCGGCGTCGGTGGTCATAGCGTACGTGATGAAGGCCTACGACCTGGACTTGGACCAGGCCCTGGAGTTTGTAAAGAGACGCCGCAGCTGCATCAAACCCAATTCGGGCTTCCTCAAGCAGCTCGAGACTTACAGGGGCATACTCAATGCCAGGTGGGTCTTTCCGCGAAAGCCGTGCATGCACTCTCTTGCCCTGCCGGTGGAGATCTGCTTCGGACGTAGGGGCGATGGGGCAACACGACCGTGTTGGTGGTCTCGAACGAGCTGCCCCACCCTTCCCCACACCCACATCTCGAATGTGAGGAGTTCGCTTATTTATGGACCGATCAATAAGGCTGGCTTAACAGCTATTCCTTTGTCGCCACTACAGCTTGCATCCATAGTCGTCCGTCGGCTGCGTTTTCAATTTTCATGTTTTGGTCGATGCGAGTGGAGTTACCCTGGTTAGTCTAGGTCGTCTTGGGCCGGGGTCGTTCAAGCGGAAGGCGGTGTGGCACTTCGGGTTTATTTCATCAGTAATGATTGCAGTGTGCGAGTTATTTAGGGGAGAGGGTTGACAGAATGCAGCAGGGCATAAGCTACCGTATAGACTTGATTGTAGCGCGCCCACGATTGTAATCTTGAGGGGCAACTTTTCATTATGCCCCATAAGAAAAATAAAACCACAATCATAACTTGAGACCGACAGAGGAATGAAAGAGTACCTTTATTTTAAAGAGACAGTGGCCTACACTGGCCAGTTTTGGGGAAATGATTTTCCCGCCGCTCATTGTCACCATTGTCGTCGCCATTGGAGGTGACGACGATGGCGTCACCTCCAATGCCGTCTCGCCGTCTTCGCTCCAGGTGACGTTTCCTTCGCACCGTAGAGGTCATTCAATATCAAACACTTTTTAAATGCACGAACAACAATGCCATGCAGGCAGACACCGATTCGGCGATTTTCAATGCGCTCGGTCGCTCCATTCTTCCCGAAGGCGTCAAGTGCACCGATTCTTGTCAGCGACGAACTCCGGAAATTTATTTTCCAAATCCCAGTGAAGGTCACGACATGATCCACGGAAAACTTTCTGGTCTGGTTCACATTTCAAAAGCACATCCCGCTGGTGCCCACATCTGCGAATTGTGGATTCGTTCACGTCCAGCCGACAAGCAGTTCCCAGCTCTTTGGCCATCAAAATTGTCTTGTTCTTCAATCTAGCATTGTACTGTGTACATTGCGCTGCCATTGGTTTGGTGCGAACATGTGCAATGCCACAGAAGCGCGAAACGTTGGACGTTGTGGAAGCACGAAAGGCAAAACACAAGGTCGAACAAGTTCGCCATAACAAACAGAAGAAGGAACGACAGGTTTTATGATGTTTCAATCTATTTCGATCTGGATTTGTCAGATTTCATTTTAAACAGCCATATAGGTGCACGTTGCCTGCATAAGGTTGAAAAACCGCTCGAACTCCGAAAAGCACAGTTATATTTCAATATGGCGGCACCTTTGAGGCCCATTTCACGGTCACTCAAATATAACGAGGGGCAGCGTCGGGTAACAAAAATTACAAGAAAAACTCGCGTTAGATTCAAGTAAATATGGTATGTTCACAGTATAACTAAAAATAAACACTATATGCCCTTCGAAGGCAGAAAGTGGGCGTGAACAGAAAGGGAATGAATGGAACTGTAGAGCTAGCACGCCAACCATCTGCGATAGCTCTTCTCGCAGCTGACTAAATACGGACTTGTCGTCAACCCGATACAGTATCGCGTCCGGGACACCAACATGCAGAAACTTGTAATCTACAATATTAACGTGAGACCTAACTGGTCTTCATTGTACGACATGACCGAATCACTGCATCTCTGCGCATAAGTGTGTGAGGTTTGCTTCTTTCTCGTCTGCTGTTAGTGTAGCATGTTGCTACCGAACTCTAGCTAGAGCCTGAAGCCCTTGTTCCCCATTGCCCTTGCCTGTGCAGCAAGCAGAGGCACAACAGCATCTGGCGCTCCAAGTCCGAGACTAACCTGAAGTATGAGAAGCCCAAGCGCACCAAGAAGCAGGAGGGCAGTGATGGGCGCAGTGCTACGGAGTCCCTCTGTGGCCACATGAGCCTCCTGGTCCCCGGCAGCGTTGCACGGCCGAAATCCTGGTCTCCTGATGACGCCGCCTCCAGTGTCTTCTTCTCGGTCAGCAACAACGACCTGCCGAGCGCCAGCGATTGTAAGTGGGATCTTGGTGCTGTGTGCAATGCAGTTAGTATGAACAAGCTTTAAGTTTCCCACTTTCGGCTGTAGGAGTGCAATATAAACTTTTAGTGTGCAGGAATCTGCTCCCTACAAAGTGCCAACATTGGAGCTTAGATATTCGCGACTCCAGCGACCTATAGGGGGCGCCACCACCAAACAAACATGGCGGCTGAGTCCAGGTCGCGTCGGCTCGGCCGGGCCGCCTGAACAGGTGGAGCGTTCAATTTAACAGATTTTCTTTTGTTCAATGCCCAATTTTATAGGTATCTGAACTGAGATGGTTAAGTGTAGCCGGTGCACATAAACTTGCAAAGCATATTTTTGTTTTCCCGGTGTTTTTTGTTATTTTCATGTCAAACTTTCCTTTCGGAGATTTCGTTCAAAACCGAAACTATGGGCTCCGGAGAAACGGTAATATACTAATCAGTTTTGATCATCTAAGGAAAGCGGCGATGACTACAGAATTGTTCCACCGAGAGTAATTTTCAGCTAACTGGCATGCCTCGACCATGCGACTTATCGGTCCGCGAAATCGAGCTTTCGTGTGTATCCGCGTTTAAGAAACAGCTCCAGTTGTCTGCTCGGTCAACACCACAGGCTGCAGGAAAATTACAAAAATTAAGCAGGCGCTTCTTGAGCCAAGGACCATGTTAACCCTCCGGCGCCCCACTACAGCTGATACTCGTATTTCAATTCAGGTTTTAGTAGCAATCGAGAAATCATTTTAACGAGCGGGTTATGGATTATATTACATACTATGTTTTGAAGCGCTATTAGTATATTCTTCAGGTTGAAATATGAGCTTAGTTGACTAGATATTAGGTGAACTACTGAATAAAAGTATATTTGACAGACAGAGAGATACTACTTGAACTTAGCCAAATGGTTCTAGCCGGCAGCACGGAGACAAACTGAAGAGAGTCTTCATCGGAGATTCACGCAGAACCTCTCTGCATTGAACTTTGCTTTGAATCCTGAACGGAGAAAATTAGTATATTTCGTGGCTGGTCAACCTGAGCAATGCAGACATATATTGCTGCTGGCTTCGACGGGGGTATATTATAAATATTGAAGGCGCGATAGAGCATAATGCCCTGACAGCTTCTAACGTTGCGAGACTCGTCCCCCACCTTTTGAAAACAGATAATTTCCCTCATTCATCATTTGCAGCGAGCAGGTTTTCCTCAATTAAGCAATTGCGAAATCAGCCCAACTCCTCCAGTGTGGTCCAGAGGCTTTTTCGGCGAAAAGCAGCCAAGACGATTAGCCAAGGCACCGACCGGCGTGGGTGGTTCAAACTTGAAGCTAACCGATCACAACCAAACTCAAGAAAAGCAGCTATCGAACCTTCCCATTCACTTGACTGCAACATTGGTGTTCCCTCCAATGAAATGCTTAGTCTGTCGTCCTCAGTCGACTGTCCTACATCCTTATAAAGGAACCACTTATCAGTTCCCGAGCGCTCGTCACTTTGAATGTGATTCGAGACAGACAAGAAATCAAAACGTTTTTTCCGTGATTCTCCCCATCCAAGAAATCGAAAGCACGCGACCGTGTGTTGTGGAGCAAACGGGCTTTCAAACATGTGATGAAGGAAACAATCTACTGAGGCTTCACCACACTAATGAACACACAGGCAAACTTAAGAAATATTCGGACCTTCGTCAAAGTACATTGTTCGCCGCCGCGCTGACAACACGTATCCATGGAAGCCACCAGAGACGCGGAGGGGCGCGGAGCGACCTGGTCCGGCTGGTTCCCGGTTTTCCCGTTTGGTGGCGTCCGTTTTGCTGGAGTCGCGAATAGCACTGGACACTAAACGTGCAAGTGAAACACTGAAAAGTATGAATGTCTTAAAACTATTTATGTCAAGCAGTGTACTCTAGCTTGCTGTACCCAGGGCAAATTAAGAGGGTATTAACAGGCTGTTTAAGTAAACTATGCAATGTATTTTGTTAAAAGGACAGAATGCTTTGGACTTTGGCAGTATTGTATGCTTAAGTTCATTGTTTCTTTCCAATTTTCATGCATTGTAGCACGTCCAGCATGTATACCTATACCTTTATAATTGTTACAATGCATCACATTATTATTAGTTCTAAGATATCAATTAAATGTAGTATTCGTGAAAAGTTTTTTTTTTTTTTTTTGTGACTTTATTACGACAGTTGTAAATACTATGACTTGTTCCTAAGTCGATTAAAAAAATCGCGTGGACGCAAAGCGTACTCCAGCGGTTGCTCATCGTGCGATGCAAGTCCCTCAGTGCGACCCCCGTGTTTGTGCAGCCATCACGCCTCCTGGCAAGACGCGGTCTTCCCGGAAGCGCCTGAGCCGGCCTCGCTATGGGACGGACCCTGCCTGCTACCCTGCCGCCTTCGTGCCTCCCGATGCCCCTCCAGATTCCCCAGCTGTGGTCACCACCGGCACGGCCACCATCCCGGTCACCTTGGGCACGGACCCGAACCCCCGGGTGGGTGGCAGTCCCAAGCCCTGTGCCCTGCCCTCCTCGCTCCTCCCTTCCAAACCGGGAGAGGAGGAAGACCAGGGACTGCACCGGGTCGCCTCTGTAAAAGACCGCATCTGCGAACTGGAATCTCAAGCCGTTGTCACCAAGCCCGCAAGTGGAAAAGCGCCCTTGAAACCGGACGCACCGCGAATCGCCGCCACTTCGGCCGCAACGATGACGACGGCAGACCCCAACGTGCGAAGCAAGTTGTTACTCAATCTGGCCAATCCGCCTTGTTACGGCAAGAACGACATGCCTCTGCCGACCGAGGACTGCACGACGGTGGCGATCTACAACGTTAGGACGTACGAACCGCAGGGCGTGGAGCCTGTGGCGTCGCAGACCAAGCCTCCCACTCCGAAGCACACGGCTGTGATAGTGAAGCCGACGCCTCCCTGGTCGTCGGGAGGAGCGGGCGACGTAGACGGAGGGGACACGGCGGACGTTGCTCCAGCACCGTCACCAAAAGACGTCTTCTCGTCCGCGCTGAGGAGGGATGCAGAGGACGGGTGCCCGAGGTTCCCGGCCCCCACGGCGGGCGTCCCCTGCCACATGGCCGACGACATCCGGTCGGCCGACGCTAGTCACTCCCCCGAAAGGGTGCCGTGGGAGGAGCCCCGTCCTCGGGGCACGCTCTTCCCAGCGGAGATATGTAAGTTGCAGATAGGGTTTGCGGAAGGGGCCGCAGCAGAGGCGCGGAAAGAGAATGTAGTCCCTGTCCTGGCGGAGCTGCAGGTGGACGGCCAGAGGTCGGAAGACCCTTCTCGGGAGAAAAACCAGCAGGGAAAGGTGTGCAAGACCAAGTGCCGACTCGAAGGCTTTGCGCAGTCGCTGCGTTTCGACGGGAGAGCGTTTCCTTCGCAGACGAGGTCGATGCCTTCCACGCCTCCCGAGACGGTGGCGGGCGTCTGCCCGACATCGCCGAGCAAGCAGATCCTACGGTCGCAGAGCCTGCGCTCCGAACGCCGGCCCAAGTCTCTCGCACTTCCCAAGTATGTAGCGCGGAGTCCGCCCAAATTTGCACTCCAAGAGTCCCCTCCGATTGCGGACGACCAGTTCGGCCTCGAGATCAGTCACAGTGCGAGCACGCCATCAGTCGTGGAGGCAGTCAACGAGGTGCTGCGCGACACGGAGCGCGTCATCTCCGGCGCCTTCCACTTGCTTCCTCCGACGGCGACCACACCCCCAAGAGCCCGCAGCGCGGACGCGGACTTCGGGAGCCCCACGTCCCTCCTTGTCGAAGCCCAGCAGTGCCCTTTGGAGCATGAGTCGAGTTGCGGCGACGTTCCGCTGGCCGGAATCGTCAAGCAGCAGAGGGCAATGCTCGAGGGACTGCAACCACAACACAGAGCCTCGGATCGCAAACCCCCCGCCGGAGACTCGCGCTCCAAGAAAGACCAGGCCCGCTTCATCAGAGAGCTTGGAAGCAGCCTGGTTCCTGGTGACACCCCTGTTACCGCGGAGGCGGAAGAAGAGGAGTCTGCAGTGGGAGTCGTCAAGAGACTGACCAAGGAGCTTGAAGCGAAAGCGCGGAACGGTAAGGCCAAGCCGGGAACGGCGGACCGACTCGTCATTGTGGAGCGGGACGGCCGGGAGCAAGACCCCGCCTCGACTGGCAGTTCCAGCACTCCCAACTCCCCCGTCTGCGAGCGACACGGCTGCGGGGCCTGGGGTCCCCGCGGACCCCGCGCCTTCTCCGAGTGCCGCCCACCTCCAGCCGAGCCGCCGCCACCGCCCAGCCGCCACACCAGCCTAGACGCTGCGGAAAAGATGCGGAAGGCGTCTGCCTCGCGGGGCCCGTCGTCGGCGCACCCGACTGCGAGCAATCGCGGCGGGGAACTCCCGCTGCCTCCGAAAGTGCCGCCACCCGGTGTGTTGTTCGCGATGATGCCTCCCGGCGTGTTGCCCGGCGGCCTTCAGCGCAAGATTCGAAAGCAGCAGGGCAAGACGCATCCACTGAGCAAACTGGCTGCGCGGCAGAGGCATCCAAACCCTCTGTACAACACCATGTGATCCCGTGTGTGTCTCCCTCGTCCCCTTTCGTCCCACCACTTTCTCCAAAACCTACGTCGCCTTCCGGCGAGAATGCCGAAAAATTCTCGTACCATTTGCCGCTTTCGTTTTGTGTTTGCGTCCGTCTGCTGTACAGAAACAAAGCCGAAGCTGCCCATCGAGTGTCAGTTGTTGCTGTTGCGCGTGTTTGTCTGAGCGGGGTGATAGGAGTTAAGGCGCCGAGTCACACCCTGTGATGCATGCACCACTGCTGTGATGAGTCGGCAGTTTTGAGTGTTGTCCCTCCAATGTTCGGGTTAGTCTTTGTTGTCGTTGGCATGTTTTGTGACAGTGAGGTGCGCATACACAGTTTTGAGTGGATGCCCAGGGCAGAGTGTGGGAGAGAGTTTGCTGCCCATGGGGAATAACAAAGGCAGGAATATGCGAAGTTGCCCAGGCTTCATTTCCCTTCACGGATGACTAATATGCCGACTGAAACCTGTTGTTCCTTCACCTTTGCATGCAATATGATCACCATAATATTAACTGCCATTCTTACAATGAGGGTAATGCATTTTTATTGCAGTCTACCTTTAGAATCTCAATTTGTAGTGGCATTTTCAGTTTTTCTGGTAAAATGCACTAATATTCCAACAGCATAATTATTTAATTACAGCTTCGTTAACCTCGTTCGATTTAAGGCAGTGCAATGAAATAGTGCGGGAACTTGCATAACAGTGTCTCCGAATGCAGGAGTCCCTTTTGCCCTATTTCAAAAGGGGCTTTCTGATCTGCCGACAAAAATAGACCCTTTCAATTTCCTGGTGACTACCTTTTCTCACGGTAGAGTCGAACGAAAAGAAAGGAAGTGAGGCCAGCCCGCTTGCCGCTCCCCAGTGCACCTGCGGCGGCCACCAGTGCTGGATGCTCGCGCTTAGTGAAGACGGCCTCTGCAAACACTGCCTGGTTGCAAACTATGCTTTGCCACGCTGACAAAAGGCTCTTGTCAAGAACCACGTGCCATATGATGTGTCCTAGTTGCCTGCCCCACTCTCCCCTCTCTGCTGCTGCTTAGTGTGCTCCAAAGCTCCCCGTATGTGTGTGTGTGCGTGTGAAAGCAATGTTTTTTGTGCATCTGGCCACGAGAGAATGAGTGACGACAAAGTACTGTGTGATGCGCTAGACCGAGAAATTATTTAAGACGAACGAGCAGAAGATGATTTCACCTTCTGGAATAAAATGGATTTTAGCAACCTGTACTTGCTCTCCATGTTTTTGTTTTTTTTGCTTTTTGAGAGGGGTATGACTATTAACGGGACATTGTCTTTCGTTGTTCTTTGACTGCGCATGCACACTTGGACCTCACAAGGTGCCAAAATGTTATCGAAAGTAGGAGTCTCGCATCGGAAGTGGGGCGACTGAGAGACAGCACTGCCATTCTTATCCTGCCAGTGGCTACAGCGACTACACTGCATTTACTCGTAAGCTGAAAGTGGAGTGGAGGTTACCAGCACGAGTTAGCTCACCCTCCTCGCTTTGAAACGTGCCCTTCTGTCGCAGGTGGTCTTTCCTTAAAGGCACAGTCGGAAGTTGCTATCTCGTGCTTCGGCATGAGCAGTGTATCTACCCGCAAACACATTCTGTGACTCTCTTGCCGTATCTCTGCTTGTGCGGGCAAGAGCGTGTCACATTCTGTGACATGCTCTTGCCCGCACAAGCAGAGATACGGCGGCGGCCAGACGCCTTGCTTGCAATCGTCTTGTCGACGTCGGCCTTGTGCCGCAGCTTTGCTGGTCCCAAGACGGGCTACATCATGATTGCACCAGATATCACGTGCTCTCCGCTGGCTGCTATTTGAGCACTTACTAGAGTGGGCCGTTTCTTTTTTTTTTTTTTATTTATTTCATTACCCTTGGGGCCCATCGAGCATTACAGAGGGGGTGGGTACAATAGGTTTACAAACTACAATGATCAATTCACAGTACAAAAAATAGACAACAACAAAACAAATGAAAAAGTATAATCAACAAATTGCAGTTACAAAAGTAATCAATTATGGCTGCCTTGAAAGCAGAAACATCTTCAATCGCAGCGATGTGTGGGGGAAGGTGGTTCCACTCTGTATACTTTGTTTATAACAAAATATACAGCCATCAGGCTCAAAATACAAATGTGCGATTGTCGCTTACGGATCTTGTGGATCATATTCAGCCCATTTCTGAACACCGCAGGTGTATTTCAAATTTTGTTGAAGTATCCCTTTAAAATTGGTATTAGTGGATATGCGGCTTCACTTTGACATAATATTTCAGCTGTGATCGTATTTCGTGCCACTAAAGCGATACCAGTCATTTATTTGAATTTCGTTTTCGACCGTAGTTGCCCTTTCAGCACCAATCAAAGTTGTGCACACACGGTCTTCACCTAAAACGATAAAATTTTCGATAGAAATTTCTGGTTGGGGAAAGTTAAATGTAAAAAAGAACTCCCACCAAAACCCCCAAAAAGTTCAGCCCGATGTTTTAAAACCTGTTGGGTTTCTTCATCAGGGGTGACTAAATCGTGTGGAGCAGCAGCAGCAGCTTTCATCATCTTGGTTATTTACAACTCTAAGCATACGAAAAGGTTTTTTTTCTTATACTGTGTAGTGTATGTTTATACAGCCGGAAGTCAGTCAACCCCCCTTGTCTGGTGTCTCAGCTGTAGGCGAGAACTTTATTTAGCCAGTGCAGTACAACCGCTAGCCTGGGGTCTGTAATGTGCACCGTGCAGCAGTGATGCACGACCACATGACGGTACGATGCTCATCCAGATCGAAACGGGCAGGGGTGGGGATCGAACCCAGGATCCCTGGGCTCTGCAGCGCGAGCTTTCGCTTCATGAGCTCCAAGCTGGTGTGTGCTAGCCCACTCGGCCACTGATCCCTTAGAGTCTTGGCACCAGGAAACAAACAGGTCCCTGGGTGCTTTGTGTGGGTGCTTTGCTATCGGTGTACATTCATGGATTGCACCACCTGACGACGGCAATAAACAAGAGACCATACAAATAGAAAAAAAATAAGTTTTGAGTTGTAAACAACGAAGAAGATGAAAGCTGCTTCCGCTCCAGGCGATTTAGAAACTGAGCATCTTTTGAAACGTCGGACTGAAGCTTTTCTGGGTTTTGGTTGGAGTTCTTCCTTTTTAAATTTAACTCTACACCTCTTTGAAATGCCACAGAAAGTTGTCTGTGAGTATAGTAAGGACTCCAGTCGTTTTTTAGATGTTCATTCCCAAGCAGCTAATGACACATCAGCTGTATACGCTGCATTAGTGTGGCATAGGGTGCTCTTATCCAGAGGCCATCTCTCCTTTTAACAGGACTATGGTTAGACCCCCTGTTGAGTAACGAAGGATTTTGTTAGAAATAAGTAAGATTTGTTTTAGAAAAGTCTACCTTTCTACAGTTGCGTCGGCATCGGTTTTTTATCTGCCTATGTTTGTGTCCACATTTTTGGGCAATTGCTCGCAGACCCGCGGCAGGGGGAGAGAGCGTGAACGAGGAGTCGTCTTGCGGGGCTCGGTAGAGAAGAGTCTGACCCTGGCCGTTAACAAACGGATTGGGTTTCAGTTGGGGCGCCGGAACACCCGTCTTGGGCTTCTGTCCGCACTTGTGGCTTTTAAGCGGGTGTGCTTGTGTCCGGCGTATTTTGCCGCTTGGTGTAGAAAACTTCACATTTAGTCAACGCAATAACTTAACTTGGTGGTGCCAGCCAGACGGCTGAGAAAGCATGTGGTTACTCTACAGAGAATTTGGGTTTGACCGTTGAAGTGTCGGAGGGCGGTCACGTTGACAGCTCGCTGGTCATTGGGTAAAAGTGTACCACGTGACAATGGGCAAGTTTGAAGTGATTGGCCCGTCTCTGGAGGGAAAGGAAGCCCCTACGAGTCTAGAAAAGGGCTGCCGAGAGGATTCTTGGGGATTCGGCTTTTGAGATCAGGCAGATGCGGCTCTTGAGACTGGGGACTAAGTATGGGTTTTAATTTTGGGAGTTTTGTCATGTAAATTACTGTTGACTTGTTGTCGTTGTGTTTTGAAAATAAACGTGGTCACACTGGCCACCGTAAACCAACCAACGTCGTAATGTGTCCAGCGGGATCGAATAACTTTTAGTTTTTTTTTCTTATTCGACTTGCCGGGGGACTACCATCGGGCGAACACCATCATCGGTCGTCACCATCCTGACCGGGCCCCCTCTCTCTTGGTAAGTTGACTCCCCCCCCCCCCCCCCCCCCCCGCCCCTTTTTTTTTCCTTTTTTTTTTTTCTTTTTACGAGTAAGGTATTTCTTTGTTACAACATGACTTCCTCTATGGAGGACAAAAATTAATGTGCTATTTGGCACTTCCAAATAGATATGTCTAGCTTTTTGTCAAAATTGAACGAGGTAAGGAAAACCAGTGTCTATATTGCTAGGTACAAATTACATATTTTCATTTTTCACAACATATGAAAATCACATTCAATTCCACTGGAAATTAATACACTGCAAGTTTTTTTTTTATTACTTGCGAGGAAGGCCACCAGGAGGTATAAGACACAGCTAATTTATTAGTGATCTCATATTTACACGGCCTAAAACATAAATTTTCAATCCTCCAAGGAATATTTTAAAGCATAACCAATAACTGTCAAAACAAATATGGTATTTTCTTATCTCCCTCTGCAGACATTATCAGATTATGCTGTGCAGCACAGCACAGTTAACGCAAGCACTACATTGCCACTTTTTCACGCTTTACCTGGGCACAGAAATTGCAGCAAATTTTACTGCTTGGGTTGGCGCCCCAAGAGTACCCTCCATCACACTGGGAGTTTCGATGGTGGCCTTTCAGTTCAGCAAAACAGGAAGACCGGAGATAATCTGTTGCCGCTGTAGCTGTGTCACGCTCTGCACGTGCATTATCTGACAGCCTCTATCTTCAAAGATCTGCTTGTACTATGGCCAAAGCCATGAAAAGGAGTGCACTGATGGAAATTGAGATAAACAATAGGATGGGACAATAAGGAGATCTATACTATTACATTTTTTGTTTATGTGAACAATCATTCAGTAAGCTTCGTAATTCACATAGTTTTTAGGAGTGCACGTTACGTCACATTAGTTGAACAAGTGCATTTCATTTTGAGCAAACATACAAAGTAGCAGGTCGAAACTTAAAAAAGAAGAAGTATATAGCATAGGCGTTTCTAGCAAATCTAGGTGCGTGAAAGGCAAGATACCACTAATGCTGCAATCTCTCGCATGCTTCATCATTTGTAATCTAGGGTGGGCTGCAAGCACGATAACTTTACTCGGCATTTAGCAGTCGTGGAAACCCTTGTTCCACTCGAATTGTATTTGCTTGGTCATGCAATTTCCCAAGTTATAATCCCGTTGCACAATTTGGAATGCATGTGATTCCAGGTGCTCGTGTTGCAGCAGATAAAAACAACCTATAACTAAGCTCGGATTTGTAGGAAGCTTTCCCATGTGATTGGGGTCTTTACAAGAACCAACTAGACGACAGAAGGCATTGCATTCATTTTGGCAGCTCGAAAATACTGCAAAATCTGCAAGCAATCTCAAATAAATAAAGGTGACTTTGAACCACTTTTGCAACAGAACAAAAATAAAACAAAAACTTCACATGTTTTCTTCATCTAGTACATACCAAACCGGTAAATCGGGGTACTTGAGGTAATTTGGCACATCACCACATTTTTTGTAAACTCTTGAGCACTTCACAGGCTACATTGTGCCAAGAAGCGTCAACAAGTTCTGTGCCACAGTTGATTCTTTGCCGCCACTAGAGGCCAGGGACTTGACCTGGTCCAAGAGATTGCTGTTTTCCACCAAGCTTTCTCTGAAGACGGGTATCCTAGATGCAATATTCCCAAGAAATGAGAGTACCTGCAACACAATGTCAATGAATCCCATCATTAGACTATGTACTTGATGTAGATATCTGTGACATGCAGGTTGTGAACATCTCATTAGTTGAAACATCACTACCAAAGCAGAACTGTCGCGATTACCGCCGAGATTACAGAAACACGTGTACTACAAAATGCAACACAGATTAATATTCTGGCTCTTTTTCGCTGTTAAAAGGCTATTACAAAACTACCACTTGTGTCATGGAACATGCTAATGAGCAGTGCCTAGTGTGGTGTTGAATGCTCACGTTTACCACCAATGCCATGTTGAAGTTTACTGTGCCGCACAGTTAAAGTGCTTACTGGCACATCCTCCAACCAAAGATATATGTGGGGTGTCCATTATAAATACAATAAAACTTTCCTTCTTTCCTTGTGCATTTCATTTTTTTTTACATTAAGGTTTTTTTAGTAACTTTTGGGAGCCAAAGGAGATGCTCTGGCAGGAATGTCACGAAAGCAGATAATAGAAAACGAAAGATCAAATGAAAGTGCCGGTGAATGACTACCCATCTCAATGTTGCTTACATGTGACTCGGCGCAAGGCATAACTGAAAAGCACCCACCGTTTCTATGTGCGACGATTCACAACAGATCAAAGGCAAAATGCCGTCCGAATTGCAGATAGTCAGATTGAAGTTCATCTCATTCCAAACCAATGCAGCTGTGAAGAGAAACAAACACATTTTGTATTTAAGATTAAAAAAGAAGAATTACAAGATGCAAATTCAGTTCATAGCACATTTACTGCTTGCTCCTGGTAAAGTTTAAGAGCTAGAACATCCCTGTATAACGAATACCCTGTACACCTTGCCACATGGAGATGCATTGTGGGAAAAGTACCAAGGAGAAACTGTGACACATGCATATTTGCTAGATTGCGCTAGTTCCCAAAAACAAACCGCCCGTCCCAATTGTGGGCACCCTAATGACATCACTGTTTACTGGTTGCTAGGGTGTACGCCCATCTGCACAGTGCATGCACGGTTGCACAAGGGGGCATTGCTTGGCTTATGACGAGCAACCACTACAAGTGACCAAGACTGTCCTGGGGCACCCCTAGGGAACGTCATACACCAACTGTTTCATTCTTTAACTATCTGTCCATCAAACATTACATGTAATTTCCTTTTTGGAAATACTGACTCCAGTTTGTTCCTTTAAGCTGGTCTTGCAGCAAGGCAAACCATCCAGAAACTGTCATGAGAAAACTTCTTGCTAATATGGGCAAGGATTCTAAGTTGTGATGGCATTGTGAAAAGGGCTGAATTCATATTTATGTATTGTTACTGATGCTATGATCCAATATCTTCTTGTATTTATGCATGCAGTTTAACTAGCATTGTTTTCTTAAGCACAAACTATGGGGATACATATACAAAGAAGGGCAAAGGGGATTTTTATCCACCTGCAAATCAGCCAGGAGAAGGTCAGGGGCCACATTTAGCTGATATTTTAACATGAAGGGCCAGTAGCCTTCTTAGATTTCATGGAAATGTTGGCACTGCTTGTGCTATGCCGGTAGCCATGCCAGTAATCTTTCCCCATCACAATGCATCTTCTGCCAAAATCTGGAATGTCTAGAAGCAGTTTGTTCTTTGAAGCTTGTGGGGATTCCTGTGATCTCCCTTCCCCGATGGCTAGCGATAACAGCCGCGGGTCGGAACGCTTGGCCTCCTTCGCCGTGAGCTCCGACCTGTTCGTAAAGCAGTGGGTTCCCTGTCTTAGAGGGCCTTCCCCTCACTCTCTCCCAAGGGGCCTTCTTCCGTTTCCCCGCTCGGATGTGCATCACTGTTGACAGGCGAGGAGGTTAAGGGGGGGGGGGGGTAAGTTAGAAACAGTCATTGTGTGTTTCCCAGTGCTTGTGTTACATTGTCCGTGTCGAAGTCCTTCCGGGTGCGGTGGTGACGACCTTCTGTTTCTGTTTGTATTGGACCCCGTGTACTGGGTAAAGATGGAAACGATAGCGCACGCTTCTCTTTTGTTTTAGAGCGCAGCTCTTAGGCGCCCGTTCCCGGCTTGAGCGGCGTCGGCGTAACAGCGAGTAACCCTCGTAACCCTCGTGAGGGTTAGAGGGTTACTCTCACGAGGGTTACCTTCACGAGGGCTACGAGGATTAGTTACCCTCAAAAGGGTTACCCTCACGAGGGTTATGAGTTACCCTCACGAGGGTCACGATGGTTAACCAGGTCACGTGACCCCCCCGGGGTCACGTGACCTAGGGATACCCCCCCCCCCCCCCCCGAGGTCACGTGACCCCCTGTTGACGTCATCGCCACTGATGACGTCATCAGTAATGTTATTGATGACGTCACCGGCTTCCGCATCGTCATCATCAGCGATGACATCATCAGTGACATCACTGATGGCGTCACCGGCATCCACATCGTCATCATCACTGATGACGTCATCGGTATCCGCATCGTCATCGTCACTGATTACGTCATTGGCATCGTCGCGTGACCCCGCAGGTCATGTGACCCCCCGACGTCACGTGACACCCACGTGACTCCCGCAAGGTCACATGAACCCCCGCCACCCAAGGTCGCTTGACCCACCCCCCCCCAGTACCCTTCCCTCCTCCTCCTGAAGAGCTGCACTCTAATTCAACGTTACAGGGAGTTGTAAACGGCTTTCATTTCTTTTTTATGTACTTTTTTCAGTTCGGTGTATTGTGATTCTGGTGGATTGTTTGGTAGTTTGGTGATGAACCGTATGGTGGTGGCAACGTTCGGGGGAGGTGTATATAAGGCGTAGAGGCAATAAAGTTTTTAGCTGAGTTTTAGACGTTGTCTGTCCCTTTTTCTTCCTGCTTCACGAGTTTCCGTTTTTCAAACCACGGTCTCAGGTTTCATTCATCATGTATATCAGCTGCAAGTCAGCGCTGCGTCCGTGTTACTTCTTCGTCTGGTCCTTCCTCTTTTGTGGTGTTTTTAATCCCGAAGTACTGGAGGTGCTTCAAAAGCCCAATAAATGCAGAAATTCGCTAGACCCAAGGTTTGGTGAATTAACACATTACAACCAATCACTGAATTCAATAGCTACCATACTCCACGAATGTTGGGAAACTAGTCTGGCACACAGACCGATGACGTACCAGCAAGGTTGTTGAGGAGCCAAAGGCACTCCCGCCGCAGATGCAGGTAAGTGGAGTTGAGAAGGACTCCTAGGCACTCTGCCATGTCGGGAGACTGTGCCACCGTGCTTGCCAACGAATCCTGGTGTGCCGCAAAGGTGGCCAGGCACCTCACCAAAGGGGTCAGGGTCTGTCACATTGTATTCACAAAACATCAGCAAACAAGCTCTACACTGAAGAAAGACAACAGGTACAAAGGACTAGCACTTTTTGGGGGAGAAAAGCGTCGAGCGTCGAATCCTGCGATGAATGGAAACTGCCATGTCCAACCAAAACAAACATCAACATTCCCGGCAACCCCACCTCTGAGAACAGCCAAAGCTCAGGAGGGCACCATAATCCTTTTCCTGGCAGCTTGACTGCGGTTATCGTGCCTCAAAGAGGACTCTGCCACATAAAGTTAAAGTAATAAAATTAAGTTAACGATAACTTAAAGAGGAACATGGCAGTCTGTTTGTCTTCCATGTCCCTTATTAATTATCCTAAATTAGAAACCAACACGCTCAACTATCTATGTAATTATGTTGTTTGTATGTTTAGACAGCGGGAAGTTAGTCAGCCCCAATGGGTGTCTGGTGCGTCCGCTGTAGATGAGAAATTTTCCCAGCGCGGTACTACTGCTAGCCTCGGGTTTCTAATGTGCATCACGCAGTAATGATACACGACCGCACGCCAGTACGATGTGTTAAAATAACATACAACAGTGCGCCTTATTTTTCTTTGTGAATGTGTTCCGACCCCACGGTCATGGAGGGAGAGACTGCAACTCCGACGGGGGGCCAGCTGTGTTTATACCTCTGGCAAAGAGGGGTGCTCAGACAGGAGAGGAGGATGATTGTTTGCTGAGCGTCTGCTGCCGCAAGGCCTCGACCACCCCCGCGGGCGCTGGGCGTTGCCAGGGAAGGGAAAAGAAGACACTCGGCTTCCAGGTACCAATAGAAGACGTTCGCGTCGGAAACCTTTCAATGTACTCTTTGTCATTGTTTTAATCTCATCTAACTGTAATAAAGTCTTTCTTTTATTCGTTACTTTAAAAACGGTGACTTCTTGGACCATCAAGTTAACAAATCAGAAGTAGGATTTACATTGGAACCGTGCTTTTGGAAGCTGATGTCACTGGAGAGCGTTGACACATCGGAGGGCGTCGACAACGAGGCATGGCGAGCAACGCATGACTTTCAACTGACGCCGCTGCTTTGTGAGGAGCAGTACAGCCGAGGTCAAGTCTTAGTGACAATGCGTTTGGGCATTGCTCCGTGAAATCTACTTGCCTCAACATCTATAGCGATCAACTGTGTGTTCATCGCGGGGAAAAAAAAAAAGAAACTGAAAGTCGAAGATGGCTGAGGGCAACATGAACCAAGGAATCATTGCAGCTTTATTAGATCGAAACAAAAAGCTGATGGAACTCATGGACAGAAAACCTGAAATATTTCACGCAATGCCCGATCTCAACAAAGCAATTGCCGACTTCGATGGCGAGGAGTCCAGTCACACAGCCCGCGGCTGGCTGAAGACTGTTGACACGATGGCCGTGTTGCATGGCTGGCCGGATCATTTAAAGCTAGAAGCGGTTAAGCTACACCTGAAAGGGCCAGCTCGTTTTTGGTTACAAGCTCAGATTGAAGAACTCGCAGGCTGGGAGGACTTTAAGTTAGCTTTCAACAAGACATTTGTTGGCCAGACAAGTACCGCGGAAAAGTGGCAAAAAATGCAGGAGCAGGCGCAACAGAAGAGTGAATCCACCACCGCATATTTTCTTGAGAAAATGTTACTGTGCAAAGAATTAAATCTCAGCCTTGAAGATGCCAAAGAACAGGTCTTAATTGGAGTGAAATCAAGAGATGCTTGCATCTCACTAACAGCAAAAGAGCACAAGGATGAAGATGAGCTTCTGGCGGATCTAAGAAGATTAGAAAGAGTCAGCGGTTCGAGGATTCAGAGGTCTTCTGCCGACAGGGCGCAAAAAGTAACTTCGAGTTCAGCTCAACTTGTAAAGCCTCCCTCGTCCAGACCATGGGCTAGTGCACGGCAGGGAGTCCAACCTAATTCGGCTACGACCCAGGTAGATAAGACCAGTGCTACACCCACTGACAGGAGACCAGGAGCCAAACCTCCCAAGCGTGACGCCACGGAATGAAACCTTGCCACAGTAAGATGCTATGGCTGTGGAAAATACGGCCATTTAGCTAAGGACTGTCCGTAAAAAGCCAAACCCCCCAGAAACTTTGTAGTGAATCTAAATAACAACGATCCAGCAAAGTTCCTAAAGACAGCCACTATCAACGGGGTTCAGCAGGTGTCTGCCATGATCGACCCAGGAAGCTCAGAATGTATTATGGGACACGCTGCAGCGGTTAAGTGCAAACTGCAGATTACCTGCTCATCAAAGGGACTGTATGGCCTCGCAAGCACTGACGAGTATGCCGTGAAATCGATTGGATCTGCTTTCATCGACATCTCCATCGACGACATTGTGTGTAAGGGGGTGGAGGTCGTCATTGTGCCAGACAGCGTACAACCTGTAGACATCCTAGTTGGGCGGACGTGGACGGAGCAGCCCCACATCGCATATCTACGAGTTGGCAACGAGCTGCGAATTGGATATAGGGATGACCTGCCCTTTTGCAACATCGAGCTGCCCCTGCCACCAACAAAGGACAGCTTAACAGTGAGTGAGACGACCACACTTCCCAAGAAAAGTGTGTGCTGGGTCACCCTGCAGCCCAGAGAAAAACGAGACTCCAATATCATTCTTCGTGACGAGCTTGGAGGAGAGAGTCTGCACCACTTGACAGATAGAAATGTGAACGTCCCGATCGTCAACGACTCATCCACTGACAGACATCTTCGGAAAGGTCAGATGTTTATGCATGCCGAAATCTTGGATGACGAGGACGAGCTGCATGTGGCACGCATCGATACTGATTGAAAGGAACCGATCTTAGAGAGTCAAGTGAACTTTGATCAGGACACTGCAGAAGCCAAGGTGTCAGCGCTGATGGTAGTGCTCAATAATTACAGAGACTGTTTTGCCCTCTCTCTTGAGGAGCTTGGATGTACCCATTTGACTGAAATGACTGTCATTGAAAAACCTGGCAGTGTCCCTGTGCATTCCAAGCCCTATCGCACTAACTTGGCAGAGCGAAACGCAATTCGAGAAATTGCTACGGAGTGGAAAAACTGCGGGTTAGTAACGGAGACGTCCTCACCATACGCTAGTCCTGTTCTCTTGGTAAAAAAGAAGAACGGAGATGACAGGTTGGTCGTGGACTTCTGCAGGCTCAACAGCCAAGCAATCCCAGACAGGTTTCCGCTGCCTGACATCGATGACCAACTTGCGCAGCTCGCAGGCGCGAAGCTGTTCTGCGTTCTGGGCTGTGCTAACGGGTATCTTCGGATCCCCCTGAGCGAAGATTCCAAGGCTAAGACAGCACTCATAACCCCAGACGAGACTGGACAGTTTGAGTGGATGATTTTCGGACTCAAAAATGGCCCAGCCGTGTTTCAACTTTTGATGTACCAGGTACTGGGACCCTTGCGAAACAATGTAACTATGTGCTACCTCGACGACATTCTTATTCCTGCAAGGAATTGGGAAGAGATGGTGGAGAAGCTGAAGAAAGTGCTGGGCGCCATCAGAGAGGCAGGCCTTACTCTAAAGCTGCCGAAATGTTTCTTCGGAAGAAGAGAGCTCGAATATCTCGGATTCAGGATACGGGAAGGGTTTCTGCTTCCTGGAAAACAGAAGACGGAGGCAATCGCAAACATGAAACCCCCAGAGGATGTACATGGCGTGAGGCAGTTTCTTGGGGTGACAGGTTTCTTTCGGAGGTTCATCGCGCATTACGCGACAAAGGCAGAGCTGCTGTCAAGATTGCTTCCGAAGAATAGCGACTTAGTGTGGGGTGATGAGCAGCAAGAGGTGTTCGAGCAGCTGGAGGAGGAACTAACCTCGTCACCAGTGTTGAGGCTGTACGACCCTGCCGCTCCCACCGAGTTCTACACCGATGCAAGTGTTAAGGGCCTTCCTGGCATGCTGCTGCAGCAGGATGTGGATGGGAAATGGCACCTAGTATTTTGCGTCAGTAAAAAGACCACAGACGCTGAGAAGAACTACCACTCTGGGAAGTTACAGTTGATGGCAATCGTGTGGGCCGTCGACCGCCTAAGGGCCTTACTTTTGGGGATTCCGTTCGTGCTCGTGACGGACTGCCAGGCTACCGTGTACCTGAACACGCACCCGCATGCTGAAGCCGCAAATCGCAAGGTGGTTTAATCTTCTTCGAGAATACGCATACGAGGTGAGGTACCGGCCAGGAAAAAAGGTGGCCCACGTCGACTGCCTGAGTAGGAGTCCAGAAGGACCAGCAACGGACACAATGGATGAGTTTCTGAGTTCTCGGGTTGATGTCTACATCACCATGAATCTCGATGATCAAGTGATCATGATTCAGCGATCGGACCCAGACTTAGCAGGGCTGGCAAGAATTCTGCAAAAACCGACGGCAGAAAGGACAGAGGAAGAAAAGCGAAGAGTTAAAGAGCTGAAGCTCAAGGATGGCAAGCTCTTCCGCATCGAACAGGACGGACAGAAGTTGCTCTTCGTCATGCCAAAAGCGATGAGAAAAATGCTGTGCGTTAAATTTCACGACATGCAAGGACACTTCAGTGTTGATTGAACTGTTGCCAGGATAAAGGAGCTGTATTGGTTTCCACAAATGAAACGTTATGTAAAGCAGCACGTCCAAGGCTGCTTCGAGTGCCTCCTTGCCAAAGTGCCAGGAGGGAAGAAACCTGGATTTCTTCACTCAATCCCTCCAGGAAAACGACCGTTCGAGGTGGTGCACCTTGACCACGTTGAACCGTTCGTTCGAAGTGGAAGACGCAATCAGTGGATCTTGGTGTTGATTGACAACTTGACCAAGTTTGTGAAGCTGTACCCCGTACGAGACACTTCCAACAAAAAGCGTGCTGCGATGCTTGCAGAGCTTTATCACCAAGTTTGGCCTGCCGGATCACATCATCTCGGATCGAGAATCTTGCTTCACATCGCACGAGTTCGAGAGCTTATGTCAAGAGAAAGGTGTCTATCACACCCTCAACTCGGCTCATCACCCAAGGGCAAATGGCCAGGTCGAACGCGTCAATAGGACCTTGATCCCGACAATAATAACTACGGTTGAAGACCCACACCACAAAGACTGGGATCTCAAAATCAAAGAAGTTGAGAGCTACCTAAACGCAGCCTGTACAACGCGTCAACAGGCACCAGCCCGTTCAAAATGCTGCATGGTTACCAGCCCCGAGTCGAAGACGGCCTTTTGCGTTGGCTCAACAGAGAAAATGAAGAATGGGAACAGCCGGAGAACCTTCATGAGTTGGGCCGAGAGGCTATACAGCGCAAGCAAGAGAAGTCAAGCGAATACTTTGACAAGAGCCATTTCGCCGCTCAAAAGTTAAAAGTTGGAGATCTGGTCGTGATGCGTCGTCCTCCAGAGTGCACAGGAGACCCAACAAAAACACAAGCTAGATTCAGGGGTCCGCTTTTCGTGACCGAAGTCCTTCCAAGCGACACGTATAGAGTGTCGGAAGTGAAAGGCACAGAAAAGCGGATCTACGCGACCACGGCCCACATCACTCAGCTGAAGTTGTGGAGGAGGCCAGGTGGCGAAACTTCAAGTGACTCTTCTGGTGAAGAACAAGAAGACAACCCCACTGAACCACCACCACGGAAAAGTGGGAGGTCTCGCAAGCTGCCTGTTTACCTGAAGGACTATACGTCTATGTGAAGTGAAGTGATGTGATGAGTGCAATCTACGGTGTAATGTAGTCTTTTATTTTGGCCTTTAGAAACTGAGGACAGTTAAAACCCAGCATGGCCGAGTGTTAAAATAACATGGTACAACAGTGCACCTTATTTTTCTTTGTGAATATGTTCCGACACCGCGGACGTGGAGGGGGAGACCGCAACTCCGACGGGGGGCCAGCTGTGTTTAGAACTCTGGCAAGGAGGGGTGCTCAGACAGGAGAGGAGGACAATCGTTTGCTGAGCATCTGCTGCCGCGGGGCCTCGACCACTTCCGCGGGCGCTGGGCATTGCCCGGCAAAGGAAAAGAAGAGACTTGGCTTCCAGGCACCGATGGAAGACGTTCGCGTCGGAAACCTTTCAATGTACTCTTTGTCATTGTTTTAACCTTATCTAACCGTAATAAAGTCTTTCTTTTATTCGTTACTTTAAAAACGGTGACTTCTTGGACCATCAAGTTAACAGATGCTCATCCAGATTGAAATAGACAGGAGTAGGGATTGAACCTAGGATCGCTGGGTTCCACGGAGCAAGCCTTCATTCCACATGTTCCGAGCTGCTGTGCTAAGTTAACAAACCCAGTCACCAATACCCCCAGATTTGGTCACATGATTGCAAATACTTAGAAACTTCCAAACATAGTATTCCCTGCTACATGCCTCTGCATACGAAAGATCAGCACAAAAAGTTACAAATGACTGAAATTCTCATCTACTGCCGAGATCGGTTATAACAAAGTCAACGGGAATTGGAAATCACTTCGCTAAATCCGTTTCTTCACCATATCTGGAATTCATAAAAGTAACACACAAAAAAGAGATACCACGGTCCGTCACGGGCACATGTTTATCGTACCTGCATAAAGCAGTCGAAATTCTTTGCTAGATTGGAGCTGCTTCTTGCAAACTGCGAGAAGATCCAATCGAGCAAATATCTTTCGAGCTGTGTACAAACCGTGTTGACAGCTGCGGAGGATGCCAGCGGTGGACTCCTTTTGTTACATTTATGCGGACTTTGTCCAGGATGGCACACTTTTGTTTCAAAGAAATTGCTTTCGTCTTCCCCGTCAGGGTGCCGGCGGTGCCGGGACTCTCCATCGTTGAGTAACAATGATTCGCCGAATTGGTGCTTGAGCGAAGTTACTTTTGCGCAGAGAGCGACCACACCGACCAGCGACGCCGACACCGAACACAAAGCAAACAAAGAAGCGCGCACGGCACCGATTTCTTGCTCAAGCTCATCTTTCAACGGTATAGAGAGCCCAGATTTGAGAGAGGGGGAAACTGCTTATCTGGGTCACGCGGTTTGTGGGCCGCATTTGCAAAACGAGCTGCAGCCTGCAAAGAGTCAGAACTCAAAAGCATTCACCATCTGCACACGCCTGTCCGCCTTCTGCCCAGTTTCCTACCCACGCTGCCTACGCACAACCAAATGTAGGCACACTTGCGCCAATCTGCCCAGGAGGCATCCGGCATTAAATTGCAGATGCTCTGCATGATTGGAGTTGCTCCCCTTCTTCAATCTAGGCTCTCTCTATCGTCTCTGTCGGTACGTTGTCGCTAGTGCTCCAAACGCCCCTATTGGCACTCCACAACGGCATCTCGATGTGCGATGCAGAGAAGCCCCTTCCCAGGTAAGGACCAGGGAGCAGACGACGATGCTGAAGCTGCCGCCGGCAACCTTTGCAGCATCGTCTGCAGCCTGTTCTGGGTGGCTGCTCGCCTGCAGCATCAAAGTACAAAGGTCAAAATTTTCCTTCGCTATATTTGCAGGAGCCGGTCAATTTCATTTGCTAAAAACAGACACAAATACATACATTAAAAAAAATAGCAATTGGGAATGGGAAATCGTGATTGCTTTTCTGTAGCCGCTTGTTTGTTATAACCGACTTCGTCATAACCGGTCTCGACAGTACAACAATTCCATAGATCTGCAGAGATGAATGAGCAGGCTATCTTATGTCATTCCTGTCAGCGTGAATGTGCCAGGTAACAAAAAGTACACACCGAAACGTCTTGCTCATTTAGCCGAGCACAGGCGACAAGACGTTCTGCCAAGACCCTGCACAGGCTTGCAGCTTCCTCATGGTCAGCAACAGAGCAGTCCTCCCTACGAGCAAGCAGAAACTATCTGTCCATTCTCGTGTCTCACCTTGGGGGATGACAAATTCAATAGGTCCCATCGTTTTTTTAGAGTGCAGCTCTTAGGCGCCCATTTCCGGCGTGAGCATCGGTGTCGCCGTCACCGTAACCATGCGCTGCATTATGGGAAACATCCCATAATGACGTCATGGGGGTCCTGCGCATTGCATTATGGGAAACGTCCCAAGATGCAACGTGCGGGTAGGAGGGAGGAGGATGAAGAGGAGGGGAGTGGAGTGGAGGAGGATGGGGAGAGGAGGAGGAGGGGGGATGCCAGCTACCTGTTGTGCAGGCAAGTGATATCACCATTCATAAATCACAGAGAGGCACGTATGAAAACATGCACTCGTTATCCAAGTGGCCATCTACAAGGGTATAGGCCTGTGCTGTACCCATCGATCTCTGTGGCACGTCAGACGAAGTTGGTAAATTGTGTGCCGCCAAGGTCAACAACGGCTTGCTTGTGGTAGCTCTGTGTATCTTGCCTACGGCACTCACCAAATATATTGTTGAAGACAAAGAACTTTATACCAGTCATGCAGGAAAACATCCCATTGGCCCCGAGGGATGTGCACTCGCTGTTCTGTTGTGCCAACACCGAGCAGTCTTCGACAGAGCCGAGAGCAAGTAGGATGACATAGGGAGTACCACATTCTTCGTCAAAGTGTTGACTCTGACACTGTCTTGTTCTCCTGCCTTGCTCCTGCTGTCCTTTTCCCTAGCACCAGCAGAACTTAGACAGGGTAGAGCTTCCAGTAAGAGAACTATATTTTCTTTCTCTGGACAAGGAGTGAGCGAGAATACCACAATAGTATACATATATATATCATTCCGAGATTGTTTAGTACGGTATACCGCAAAATCGAATTACAGTAAAACCTCGTTATAACAAAGTTGAAGGAGCGGTCGTAATTATTTCGTTATAACCATTAGTTTGTTATAGCCAATGTCCATTTCTTCCCACTATTAGCAAGCAAGGGGAATTATGATTCCTTTGTTATATCCATTAGTTTGTTATATCCCATTTTGTTATAACGAGGTTTTACTGTACCTCAAGAGTGGAGGAAAAGCAGGGGAGGAGATGAAAAAAAGTGGGTATGGATAAGGAGGAGGGGCATACCCTCCCCTCCATACCCTCTCCTCCTCCTCCTCAAGAGCTGCACTTCAATTCGGCGTTACAGGAAATTGTAAACGTCTTTCATTTTTTGTTTTTTTGATAGGACTGCCTAAAAAAGACCAGCACCTTGAGAAAATGTTGAAGGTCACCCTTGCAAACTGAGAGACGAACCAAGGACTCGTTTCTTTTCTCAGAAGGTCTCGGAACTTGCACACCACACCTAGATGCACCAAGCACCTGCAGATAACATGTCAAGCCGTGTGTGTTAATAAGAATAATATGATTTGTTTCTATTACAAGTAAATAGTGGGGACCAAAAAACAAAGCTGCATTAGAAGGCTTGACATGCCTAGGGCCCCACACATCCTATGGCCAGCAGCACAACGGGCAAGTTCATACAAAGTAAACATAATTAACTTAATCATTCAGTACTCCGAAGACGAAAAATAAAAAAAGACAGAAGAAAGCAACAAGAATCTGGATTACAAACAAGTTGAACAATATAGTTCAATAATCAAAACATTTTATCATAAATGAAGAGACATGCTTAATGCTACGTATGTAACTTCCAAAATTCGTGGTGTCCATATGAATATATGAGAATATAAGACATTTAAAGATCTTGGGATTAGACAGGTCGGCAGGATTCGGTCAATAATTAACTGACACCGATTGCTGAGAATACTGATTTGATCAACCAAGTTGATCAAAACAATATTTGACAAACTATGTTCTGAGTTCTAGAGAAATGTTACCGACTAGCAGCACTGTGTTCTCAAGATCGGTAAAAAGCATGGAGGTGGTCTTTGTGGCAGTCGTGCAGTATTGGGTGAACCTAATGTCCGTACATAATCTGCACAGAAACATTTATCTTTCTGTGATAGCAAGAAGCTACATACTTAAAATAACTGTTCTGGTATCTATGGGGACAAACCAGACAAGTTATATACACTGTCACCAGCAACACCTAGAGAGGTTTTAGAAGTCCCGTCAAAAGCAGCATGGAACATTGTAAAGGTTGATAGTGATGATCTATCCCCATGTGGTATCTGATGTCTGTTGCCTCCCACAGATGAAATTTAAAGGTACTCCCACTCCCATATTTGGGACAAAGCTTCATAGTAAGTGAGTTGACCGACACATAACTAAAAATAGCCAATCAAAACACTGGGGTAAGCACAAAACATTGTTGTGCAACCTGTTATTCACAGATGAACATTAATCCTTCTTCCACACCCATTAGTATTTTGATGATAGCATTAAGTTGTACAAGATAACTGTGAAATACTAGTTAACTTGGCATTTGAAAAACAGGATCTTGCATTGCATGACTGATTATTTTCTTATCACACTATCCCTGTACGTTAAATTAATCCCTTCTTTAAAAGAACAGGCTCTACTTATATGCAAATTTAGTCTGAGCAGTCTTGACTAAAATCTTAATGCTACAAGATACTTTTTTTATTGCTTGAAAATCATTCACACTAAATTCTTTATTATTAGATAACCAACAAAATCATGCCAATATGAGAAAAGCTACAATTAAGTTTACAACAAGATAAACTCTGCAAGACACCATGATGAATTTAACCCAAGTCTGGGGCCGAAAGAAAAAGAAATGTTTCCGTCCGTTTCTTTTTCTAACACTATAAAATAAAAAAAAATAAAAAAATAAAATCTTTCTACTGACCAGTTTTGGGTTTGATTTCATCATTTATAAACTTTCACCAGCTCACCAGCACAATGACTGTATTTTCCGCAAGACAGTTGAGGCTTATTCGGAACATGCAGAGCACTAAAAACATCACTACTGCACGAATTAACATTATTTTAAACCAGTCGCAAGGTTGGCACTTACTCTACATCAGCTGAGGGAGAGCGGGTGTACGCTTGAAGTGCAAACAGGCATGATTCCAGAAGCTGGTTGTGAGGAGTCTACAAAAAAATAAAAGAGCTGGCATACCCAAGCAATGTGAAGAAGGTGCAAATGCAACTAGGCATGTACTCAATTAATTCTTCTCTCCAACTGGGCGTGGCATGTGTCAGTCGAGATTCCTGGCACGACCACCCTGATACGCCAAGCGCATGGGCCAGATTGTTTGTTGTTTGTGGTGGAACAACCACCGAGCTCCAAAGCTCTACGTCGTGGGGTGGCAGTGTACGCCCCTATAAATGACACGCACTGTACCCAGTGGCGTAGCTAGGCCATCTGGCGCCCAGGGCCCTTATGTCTTTCGTAAACACCCCGCCCCCCCCCCCCCCCCCCCCCCCCCCCGGTCCCCCTCCCTCCCTTTACTTCCCGGGATCGCAACCAAGCAGTAATGTGGGAAGGGAAGGGCGCAGGGGTTTGCCGGGTGCTGCCAGAGGTGGCACCCCCCCACGTGACTGGGACGCCTGGTATCCGTGGCCCAGGGCCCCCCGGTTGCTTTGCCAACTGACTGTACCATATGTAAGAGAAAACACTGGGTTGTTGTTCATTTGGCTTTCAGCATCACAAATATTATAATTAGTTTGCCATTTAATATGAGGATTAGGTAAAAAAATGTCTTCAATATATAGCGTTAAAACTTTGCCTCCCCTAGCATATATCATCCCCAATACACCTTGTATCTCCAATGCTCGCTGCTAGTCCCCTGCCAATTGTGGTCCAGGAAGCATAATTTTTTGTTACTTTAGAGGGTGGACAAAGCATGCACCAATTGTAAAAACAAACATTGTAAAATATTATCTAGGTTTTTTAAACTAGTATTATAAGTGACATTTTCAGAGAATGTTATATACAAACATGTAGTATTTTCAATCCAGTCGAGTGGAACTGGTACTCATTTGTCCTAATTCAATGTACTTGATGTCTTTTTTGCTTTTGGATTCTTTTTTAATGCAAAAGCATTGACCGTCCCATGGAGCGAAGAAGGCGTTGTCTTCGAGTCGTAGGTCCAAGGAACGCCACCCCACAGAGAAAAGCCCTCTTCCTGGTGCTGCGGCCCGCGCACCAATAAAAGGGAGAGGGAGGTGCGCACGGCTGCCGCTCTCTCCCTTTTCTTAGGATATGTGTCAGGTGTGGCCGGAGGGGAGGGTGGGGGGGAGAGCGGGAAATTCCCCCTCCCTCTCCCTGTGCACTACTGTATGACGTGTTCTACGCTCTGCTTTCAGCCATGTCGTGCCGCCCGGCCGACCTTTGTGGAGGACAGCGGGGTGTGCTGCTTGTAGGAATGCGCTGTGTGTATGAATGCTTTTGCATTCCTACACCGTAAGCAGTCTTAACTGCCCTCCTATAATTTTAAGGCCCTTATCTATATTCTTTAAGAAAATGATACAGCTCTCCAGAAGCCAACCCTGGAGGACTATTTTCTGGCAGGGAAGAGTAACCTCTTAATGTTGCAAAATCATTTGGTAGCTAACGCCTCTAATTAGAGTGAAGGATAAATAGGATATAATTATGGCAAAAAGAAGCCAGAGATGTTCCCCTGAGGCGTACGATTCAAACAGAACTGAATAGAACTGACGAATAAAAGTTCTCGACTTTGCACAAAGGTTACCGTATTTGCACGAATATAACGCGAGTTTTTTTCCGAAATTACGTGCTCCAAAACGCACCTCGCGTTATATTCGGAATCGAGTTCAGCCACGAGGCGCGCGAGTCTGGAGAAAGCCAGAGGAGAAAGTCATCCCTCCGGCTCAATGCAAAAGATCCAATGGGAAAAGAAGTGGGGGTGTGGAGGGCCATTTTCTAGCCATTGGGCCACGTGAAGGGGCGAATAGAAAACATAAAAAAGCATTTTTATCGCTTTTGTGTTTTTACATCGCGCGCACGCTGCACGCGCGCGCGCCATGCGGGAATGCGGGCACCGGCCAATTCGAGCCAAGCCAAGCCGGGCCAAGTCAAATCAACACAAGCCAAGCCAAGACCACCGACCGCGTTTACGCAATCGTGCAACACGAGGCATTTGTTTACGAAGAGGGACCAGAACAAGAAGTGTGATCGTGTATCGGGTTCAGCAGTCTTTTTTCTGCCAGCGCATTGTTTAGTTTCTGCTCCAGAGTGGTCTGGTGTTTGTGTGTTGGTGCTTCTGCTTCCGCGCCTTGTTTGGATTGTGGGCTGCCGAGGAGCTCCCACGGAAGAAAAAAGAACTACCAGACAAGCAGGTGCCGTGCTGCTGCATACCTGCGTAGTCGCCAAGTGGATTGTAAACGGAAGGACCTGAGCAGTGAGGATGAGTGCAGTCAAAACATAAACAGATATTTCTTCCATTTCCATTGACTTTTCACTTCTGCTATGCCCCCAAGTGCGAGAAATTGACGCGGCATCGGTTCGCGTTATAATAGTAATAATATTTTTTTTCTTTTTGGGGGCATCAAAAACTGCCCTCGCGTTATATTCGTGGTCGCGTTATATTCGTGCAAATACGGTATATACCTCAAGCGTCTTCACCAGAGCATAGCAGATCCCTTGTGCAGTCAACCATGTGCAGCACTGATCACAGTCCGAAGCCATGTTGCCTAGCGCCCATGTACATTGGTCCTGAAGAAGCACAAGAGCAATTTATTTAAAAGAAGCTCCGGTCAGAAATAAAAATAAAAAGCTTCAAAGACATGCAAAGGGTGAGGCACGTGGGCCGGTGCAACGAGCCTGAACACCCACAGGCAGGGTGGGAAACATTTTTTTTAAGCAATGAAATTCAATTCAATTTATTTAAATCAGATTTGTTTGATTTACATCAGATTTATTTGCTTTAAATCATTGTAGCCAAAGAAAAATAATTAATTATCATTAAATGTATTTTTTAAACATGGTAGATGGATTGGCCAATTCATTCAAATAATGAAAAACAATTTGTACAAAAGAATTACTGTACATTTTTAAGTACACTCCTAGTGACAACTTTTTATTGATGTAAATCCAGCCGTACTTGAACAAATGCAGCTTAATTTTTTAGTTAGTAAAAAAAACTTTTTTTGCATGTTTTCTGCTTATATTTGCTCGCGATACGGCATAATCTTGTTTTCATTTCTTTCTTCTGCGTTATGAATTGCCTGCCATAAAACACCCCTTAACTGATAACGAAGCACAAGGTAGAAAGAAAGCTCAACAATCTGATTGCTCAAAAGAGCACTGCTTTTTGCTCATGTTCAGCCTGCTACAATCTTTCTTGCTAGTTGATTATGTGAATTAAATACAAAACAATTGCAGAAACATTTTTTTCAAGTAAACGACACACTCTAAGTAAAAAACTTTTAGCCTTTCCACTCTGGTGAAGAGGGAAGACCAGCAAAGCTGTACTATGCTGGGAATGAAGTAATGGCCGACCGCAAGTTGGCAAGCCAGAGTGGAAAGGCTGGAAAGGTTGCCGCCATCTATGAACGACGGCGGCAACCAGATAACCAGCAAGCCGGTTGTTTAGTTGCCGCCGTCACTAATAGATGGCGGTAGCTGTCCAGAATTTGTGTCGAGATTTTTTTATGGACACAATACTGGAGAAACTAACCCATAACAGCTCCGCTGTAAAAATATTTTTGGAATTATTGTTGAATAAAATGTTTGATTTAAAGGGATGGTGAACCAATCTTTGGATTTCATAAAAACAATGCTGGAGATGTAGGCGGGACGCTACAATCCCTACAACACTACTAGTAAGGCGATATCTCAAGTGGAGGGCCGTATTTTTGGAAAAAGAAGTCTAGATTGAACCAGGCCGACGAGGCGCATGACGTCAAGATACCTAGTTTCCTCCCCTCTTCGCTTCGCTCCCTCAAGGCCGCGAGGCGGAGAAGACGCGAGGCCGTTCCCTCTCCTCCTCGGAGAAACATGACGTCAACACTCCTGCCAAATGCGCCTCTTTTTTCGAAAAATACGGCCATCCGTTTGAGATATCGCTGTATGAGTGATGTTTTGGTGTTTGTAGCACCCCGTTGCACGCTTTTGCCGCGTGTTTTGGGGAACCCAGATTTCGGTTCAGCATCCCTTTAAGTCATCACAGTAAAAGGGGTGTGATTTATGTCACGATTTGTAGCATAATTTAAGTCACAATTTAACTCGTCTTGATTTTTATTTTCCCCCATGTCCACAAGGTAGGGCACTCTTTTCTGCATTTTTATCGCACTTAACACTAGCGTATAATACTCCTTACAAAGTGGACGATCAACTGAGGCCTACAGCCTCGTTTAAAAAGGCAGAAGAGGAAATGCTTATCTAGGGAAATATTCTGTTTAAGTATTATTTGGAAAATGGTAAAGGAAACATATTTTGAAGGAAATTCCTGCCGAGAATAGACTGACTGTAATGGGGAGGAGATTGAGGAGTGGCGCACCCTAGCGGCTGCCTTGAGAACTAACGCTGTGTGGCAAACAAACCCTTCAACCGCAGTCACTGGCACATTCGCTGCCATGGTAGACGGCGATGCGAGGCCCGCGAAAGATGTGTAACACTATTTTTTTCTCCTAAACGCATCTAGATAGAAGTAATCTAGTCCCCCTCTTGCATTCAATGTCATCGAAGTCCTCTTGGAAGGCAAAACAAGAGCATGTGTGGTCGCGCGCGGGAGTGCCAAGCCAGCCACGTCGTGTCGGCCACGCGTGCTGGATCATGCATGGCTAGCGCAGCGTCCGTGTTTTTCTTAATGATTCCCAAAACACGCACTTCACTTTTCAGTTACCGTGTCTCTTGTGACAATCATGGACGAGAATGGCCAGAGCAAGCGGTGCATCGTTGAAGGAGAGGACGTGCTCAACTGCGATCATGTCATAGAGTGCAGCGTTGCACCAGAGCCGATGGTGGACAGTGTCCACAACATTGTGTATGTGTTGGAGTCCTCCGCTCTGCATATGCCCGGTTCAAAAGCATGCTTCGAGCACTGTGGTATGCAGCAAGTGCGCACCATTTTGCTACATACAAATATGTAAGGAGCACGAGAATGATGCGGCGTACGCTAGGCGAATGCTAGTGTCAGAGTTGTTTGCCACACAGCAATTGCCCGAGCTGCTGCTGATGATAATGAAACTGCGCCCCCTATAGACCTTTGCAAAAAGAGTGCTCTGGCTGCCGCTGTTTTTTTTGACTTGAGCTACCCCTATTGGCCAGAAATTTCTGCCACCCGCCTCAGCTGTGGAAACCCGGTCAGCACGACTGCTCACCTGCATTGTGCATTCAGAGTTCGCTGGCTTTTCTTTAAGGTTTTTACTTTATCTATGTGTTCAGGATGCTTACCCTTTTTGTGTTACTTTCTATCGTAAGAACCAGGGAATACCAAAGCTCGTAGCCTGCTCGGTCTTTGCAGGAAACGAACGAAGAGAGCGAACGTCAAGCAGCCCGTGACGCGGGCTGCTTGACGTTCGCTCTCTTCGTTTATTTCCATTGATTTAACCCCGAAAAGCCTTCACAGCTATGTTCCCGGTCTTCGCGAAAAATAGCTGATAGGGTCAGGTTCGAGGTGTGGGGACAAGAGAAACACATTCATTCATTAGCCTTGGTGCTGTGCAAAAAAAAAAAAAAGCAGCTCTCTTTAAAACGTGCCTTAAAACAAGCTGGATTCCGTCAAATCGTCATGAAGTGACATCGCCAACACTGTATACTAGGTATGCTGTGTTATTTGAGAACTACTCAAACCCTGTTCTGATAAAGCACCACTGTGGGGTACATACTATATATGTTGTTCGATTGATAAGACTCGTTGAATTTCACGTTGTGAGCGGGGAATACCCATGCATCCTGGCTATCCTGGTGGTCAAATATTTACGATAGTTAAGACCTTTTTTAGATTGACACAGGTGAGTGTTGGTGTTGTAAAAAAATCAACATAAAATGCAACCAACATTCCAGTTGCATTTGTTCTGTCGTGCATAGACTTACCAAAAATAGCTTTCACTTGTTTGGTTTCATTCCCAAAAATAGTACAATGCTTTCTTAAAAACCTCGAGAAATTCTATTCGCCATAGAACACAATATTTTTTTAGAAAAATGCGGCAATTTAGGTGTTGCCAGCATCTGGAATTGTACCTATGCAGGCTGCCACAGCCCATTAATAAGAAAACCCACAACACAGCGCAGTCGGGCAACACTGACATACACTCTCAAAACCAGGGACGTGCGCTGTAAATTGGTTCGTTTGAGACTGCCACTGGAGAAGTCTATAGTTCAATCTCCTTGCCAATAGCATGGCAAGGCGTCCCTATCAAAACGCCGAAGATAAAGAGGCTGAATTATAAAAAGGCCATACGTCAGAACGCAAAAAAATTAAAATGCCAAAAAAATGAAATGTTAAAAAATCAAAACATTAGAAAGAATAAACAATGGGATGGACAAGACGTTCCTTCGGTTATTCTTTCTCATGTTTTAATCGCTTTCAAAGCGCTCACCATAACTTTAGTCGAAAAATCAAAGTGCCGAAAACTCAAAACGCCAAAGACTACAAAAGGTGTAAAGAAACCACTTAAGCGTCCCCCGGCTCATCACACCTCGAAAAGACAGCAATCTACAGTGGAAGACAACGAAAATCAATAAACAAGGAATCACTGTGCTATGCTACAAGATATACAGAAATAGAGTTTTCCTTCTTTAAAACTTGAAACATGTGAAGCAAAGCTACGAGGTGTGATCAAAAAGTTCTGGGGCTGAGTTTGTAGCGCAAAAAGAAAGGGCAGCAGTTGAAGAAAGGGAACTTCGTGTCTCGTTATATTAAAGGGCGCCGCTCTGTGAACGTTTGTATCTGTGCTGAAATCGCCAATGCACGGGCGCAATGGCAATTTCACAATAAACTGCAAACCAGAACGAGAGCGAACATCAATTATGCATCAAACTTGGCAAGTATAAAATAGAAACCTTTGAAATGATTCAGCATGCTTGCATCAAAAGGCAGTTCATTTTGCAAATTGTTTTAAGCGGCACTCATGCTTCAGGAACGGCAGAACATCGCTGGAAGACGAAGAGCAGTGAGGCAACCTTATCCGAACTCTCCTTGACTTCAGTGACATCTGTCATTCTTGAGTTGCGAGTGCCACTCAAAACACCCCCCCACACCTCACTGCTTCTTGACATGAGCCTTCTAAATAATTTCAGAGGTCTGTTTTAGATCTGTCGAGTTTGACGTAAAAGTGATGTTCGCTTTAGTTTGCAGTCTATGGAAAGATTGCCCTTATGCTCATGCGTATGGTCAAACAAACTTGTGTAGCGCAGCTCCAAATGTTCATTGAGAGATGCCCTTTGGTATAACAAGACACAACGGTCTCTTCTTTCAACTGCTGTGCACGCATCACTGTGCTGCTTTCTCTTTTTACACAACAAAATCAGTCCCGGAACTTTTTGACCACACCTCGCATACTATTCAGGAATAACTTTTCATGGCTATTGGAAAAGAGGATGAAAGCATGTGCACATGTGCAGCTTGCACAACCTCTCCCCTAACTTTGATTACATTGACAAGAAAATTTATCTCCTAGCATAGCTAGGTGATGACAGAGTAATACCAGCATTTTCATGTTTCGGCATTTTGATGTTCTGATGTTTTTACTTTTTAAGTATTTGAATTTTCCACTTCTTGAATTTTTGGCTTTTTAAATTTCCGGTGTTATTAATTTTGGCATCCTAATAAGACGGCATTTTTGATTTTCAGCATTTTGAATGGCTTCCCACGGCAAGCAGCTCTGCTCACACAAGTAAATGATCAAATACCAGCTACCTCATAAACCTTCATACTTAAGAGGTTTCCATAACAATCTTTTTTTTTTCCAGTGTTGTACTAATATATTTTACCATTCAAATTAATGAAAAATGTAAAAGTACTGTTTGCTCAGAGTTAAAATGTACCACAACACCATAATAACAACCAAAATTCCTAGCACAAGAAATAAACTTTCCTCAACGAAACAGCTCAAAATAGCTTTTGGTGCCCTCCAAAGTCAAGTCAAGAAGTTTACTTGTAGAAATGGATTGTAGCCATTCAGGAAGGTGATCAAGTAGGGTGCCACTGCTCTGACAGCCCTGAAGGTGGCCTTGTGATTTCCACATGACAGGTTAGTCACGCAGGCAATCGCTTCCAACTGGCGGCAAGGATCGTTTGAGGACACCACATTTGTCAGAGCTTCCATGGCATTCTGGTTTCTGGAGGTAAACGAAAAGCATCTCAAACTGTACGTGCAGAAGCTTCAAAGTTTTTAGACAATAAGTATACAGTATAGACCACTTACAACATAACCGCTTATAGTGCAGGACCGGGTATAACGCAGCTTTTTTAAACCACCGGTTCGCCTCCCATAGAACTCCATGTAATTACATACCGCTTAAAATGCAGGAGCGCGAAGGGAAATACCGGTTATAGTGCGGTTTCTGGAACAGCGCACCGACAGCGCTGACCGACCAGCGCAGCGAGCACGCTTCCCTGTGCGACTCTAGATAACGGCGCGAGCCTGGCTAGCCGCAAGCGGCACTCGCGGGGCAAGGAGGTTGCTCGAAGGAGCGGGGAGAAGCAAAGAGAGGGGCTTCAGTTGCCATAGCGATGGAGGGACGCATGCACATGTCTTTCATGTGCGTGCGTCCCTCCGCTGCGTTGGAAACAACCGCAACGACAGACCAATCGCAGGCCGAGGAGAAGTGTGCGTGCGCGTTGCATGCCGGTCGCGGGCCGGTCGCGGGCCGGCTTCATCTATCCGCAAACATGGCGTCGGTTGTGATCGTCGACGTAGATGGCGTGGTGGAAGCTCATTGTTCCGCGTAAAAGCGCTATCCTTGACTGTCAATTTTCGTTGTGTGTCGCTATGATAACCCAGCTTGTACTAGAAGGGAAGATCCCCCTACTCGTGCGGCGATGTCGTGGCGGCACTCTCAAGACGGCAGAAACGCCAGTGTCATCGTGTTTGTTTACTTTGACTACAGTGGTGCTTTCTAAGCATTTGTGTTTTCGAACATCGCCCGGATTTCTTATTTGGAGCATTTCATGCCCGTGCTAAAGTTGAAGGTATTACTGGCGCGTACCGTATGAAGGATGCGAATTTTTACGCGTTTTCGTCTCTGGAGAAAAGTGATCAGGGTTACCAATACTGAACGCTCACAACGTCCGTCCGCAACCCGCGACGCCGTTAAAAGGCTGCGCCAGGCAAAAGCCGCTCATTTCTTTCAAAATGTGTGACACACTTGAGAGAGAAGTGTACTACTCTGGTGAAATAAAGACTTTCCTCAAACTAAGCTTTATTTTTCATCTAACATAAAATAAATTCTTTTACAAAGGTAAGCTGTCTCATGGCATGTATTTTGGCCTGAAAAATTGATGTTTTGGTTATAACGCGGTACCGCTTATAGTGCGGATTTTCGCAACTCCCGCGACATACGATATATGCGGTTTACACTGTACCAGGTACAACTTAAAGGGGCGGTGCAACGATTTTCGGACTTCCGTCAAAGATTTCTGGAAGTTGCCCCCTGACATTTGTGAAGTAAAGAACAGAAAACCGATTTCGCCTGCGTGTCCTAGTTCTTGCGTAAAAAAAAGATAAAGATTGGCATTTCGGGCACTTCTCAACTCACTCCCAGCCTTTAGGGTCACACCTGGTCGCACTCCCAGTGACGTCATTCGGAGTGCCGTGTAGCTTCCCGTGTGCTATCTCGGAGGACGCTTCCCCTCCCTCTCTCTGCGTACATTAGCGGGCGCTATGCTGCAGCTTAGAGCCGAGCGAGGTCACGTAATCTTTCCGCCGTAGTTCCTTCGGCTGCCACTTGGGGCTGCAGGTGGGGGAAAAAGCTCGGCTTTTGCTTTGCGATTATGCAGCGGAATCGCGACATTTTTAATGAAGGAAGTGTTTTCTCTATCCTCTGGGACACGATAAACAACGTAAAAATGACGAGATGCAAATTGTTTTAATCATAAAATCGTTGCACCGCCCCTTTAATGGCACGCACGTCAGCAAGCAAGGTTTTCAGGAGGTGTTTGCGATTAAATTGCAAACACTCTACATGCTCTCAGCAGCTTGCTCTCTTAGACCTAGTCTGTTTATCAAACTTCATTGCCGAGTAGACATGGCTTGTGCTGTCTTTTCTGATTTCCTCACAGTTTGCCTACCACACTTGAACTCAAACATGTACTTACGCATAGAAGGCACTTATGAAGTCGTCTCCCATAGCGAGTCCAGCCTTCAACCTTCGGAGAAGCTGCTTATTCTTCCGCCAAGACTTCAACTCTGCCACGAGGCCTGAAAACTGAAATATGCCCATGTTTTAGTAGTAGTCAATCTATGCATGAACTCTGCCACAGGGCCTGAAAAGTAAAATGTGCCTCTGTTTCAATAGTGGGAAATTTATGTGTGAAGGCATCAACTGCCATTGCTTCAGCCAAATAGTGTTCTCATAAACACTCTCTTAGCTTTCTCTTTGCCTTTAACAAAAGATGAAAATCTGTGCAATACATCAGGCCTCCATATGCAACTGCTTCGTAGCATGTCAAAATGAAAGGCTGAAAATGTTATTTGCTAACCATATTTATTTGTTTTTAATTAACAGATAATGATTCTTGCGGCTGAAAGCAGTGCCACAACAACCTGAACAAAGTGCTGGCTATAAAAGTGTGGTCCCTTGCAAGGATAACTGAAAAGAAGGTAAATGTCAGCTCTGCTCACTCACTAGTGCCTTTCTTTAAAAAGAGACATAACTGATACCATGTGCCATTTAATATGCTAAGTGCCACACAAACTGGGAATGATGTGCCTTATTTCAATGTCCCTCCAGGATGCAAATCTCTTAAATAACGAGTTTGCTTGCTCTGAACGTCATACTCTATGATGTCAGCAAGCTCCCCCCCCCCCCCCCCCCCAAAAAAAAATAAAAGGTGCCTCAGTTGATTTAATATAAAGTAGTGATGGACCAAACTTTTGCCGAATCTTAAGATTCGGCAAAGCAGAAGTTTTGCCAAAGTTTTGCTAAACTTTTCTAAAGATTCGGCAAAAATACATTGTTGCCAAACTTAAAAGATTATTATTATTTTTCTTTTACTGGCAAAAAACGTTTTTCGGTTTTGTTTTTTAAATTTAAATGCAACATATAATGCATATTGACACAGTTGTTACCAACTGTGTAAATAGTTGGTAACAACTGTGTTGTTACCAACTATTGACTATAGAGAGAGCATTGAAACCTTTGGGGGCGGTTTTATCGTTGTGCCATTCTAGTATGTTGTTGCTAAATGAATGATGTCCTGTTCCCATCCTCGTCCTCGCTGTTTTATACTTTCAAGTCTCGTATTGTTACCAAATAAGGCAATATTCTATAAAACAGCTGAATTCGTGTAATTTTTGTGTGTTTACTGGCAATTTTACAGTAATGTGTTACAACCAGGTTGGGACTAGTCAAGATACGCAAGTTTCAGTTTGGAGGCCTCATCAGCACAAGCGTGCAAGTGTTTACATTGTTAAAATAAAGGCAGTTACACTGAGTTTTCACTCTCTCTGCGAGTCACCATTTCGTGCGCAAAAATGAATGCAACGGCTGCTGAGCTTCCACCAGAAGAGTTAACAATATTGTTGTAAGTATGCAAGCTTTTCGATTTGAGTCACTTGACGCCAGCTTTGCAAGAAAGTGCGTGTCCCATGTTTGCAACGTCTCCTTCTTAGCTTTTAAAATGTCAGTGTCTGATGTTAGTACACATGCACAGGTTTAGGAAAATGGGAAGAGTTGAATGTCGGATGTGCAACGTCAAGCATGATAGTTCTGTGTTTAGTGTTATGTGGATAGATGAAAATTGCAAAATAATGCTAATTAAAGCAATATTATTTTGTTTTGGCACAAACTACATGGGAGCTGAAAATTGGATTACTATAATTGCAAGGAGTGTTTTAAAACACTTCTCAGTCAACGTTGCAACTACCTTGTTGCATCACTGGAAAGATCATATGAAAATCACGTTACCCAGAATGTACCGAATCATTTGTCACTTGCACAGTGGACTGCGTCAATTCCTGGTCAAACTTCTGTTCTTGAGGCAGAAAACATTGGAGAGAACCACAGCCACAAAGGCTGATAAACAAAAAGTTACCATGTACTCCGCACCTTGTCGTAACCGCTGGTAGTAGTACTGTTTATGATGGCAACTGCACGACCGCACGGCGTACCTTTGCAATCCAAGGCCCTGTCGTATTCCCGCGCATGCGCAGACGTTTCATGAACTTTAGCCAAATCTTTGCAAAGCTTTCCTTCAAAAGTTTGGCCTGTGCCGAACTTTGCCAAATCTGAACTTTGGCAGATTTGGTCCATCATTAGTATAAAGTCAGTGATTAACGTCGGGGGGGTCTCAGACCCCTTGCCGGTCTTGAAAGGGGGGGGAGGGAGGGGCAATCCATCTTGTATTCAGAAACGTTAGGATTTCCCTATTCAAAATCTTAAACAAAATGTAAGGGCGCAAACGAGCTGGTGTACATTGCACATGGTTGAAAAAAACCCGAGACTGTGGGTAAATGACACAACACTAAAAAGTATCTTTTTAGACTTTTTAGTGTTGTGTCGTTTACCCGCAGTCTTGGGTTTTTTTCAACCATGTCAAAATCTTGTTGAGCAGCTATCTCCAGAGAGAGAAAAACAGTGTTCTGAGTAGCCATGTTGATTTCGTGAGAAACAAAATGGCGGGTATTTCAGGGACACTATAAATTCTTGACGATAAATCAATCAAAATCCACGTTGCTGGCCGGCTTCGTTCCCCAAGAAACATGTCGGGTTACGGATACGTTTTAATCAAGTCAGTTTTTTGTGCATCTAATATGAGCCCCCCTTGCCAGAAACCGCAGACAGACACCCTCCGCAACATATGGGAGGCTTTAAACACTGTAAAGAGTGCTTTCTACGGTGTTTACGACAAAGTAGTGTCTGAGGTGGCATTTTTTACACAAATAAGGCCAACCGTTCGCGTGTCTACGCTCAAGACGTTCAAGCAACGATTATTAACGGACTAAAAATAGAGTTGGCTCCTCACCTCATCCACAGTAATTTCTTCCCATTCGTGGGCCGACGAGACGTCAACTCTCTTGTCGTTTACCAGCTTCCACCTCGATTCTCTCCGAGTGACTGCGGGACAACATTTCATAGAATGAGCAGCGAACTTGCTCAACGCATGCGAGTATGAAAAAAAATTAGAGCAATAATTTTGATATGAGTAAAGCTATACGCACTCCGGAGTGCGCTTCGCGCGGAAATGGCTATACGCACCCCTCCGAGAGATCATGCCGCTCGGGCCACCCTTTTCGAACGGCGCGTGAATCACTGGGGCGCTCGTTAACACAGACCCCCGCCTGCGTTCACGCCGCTTCGCGGCGACAGTATCGGCTGCTAATTACAAAGCGTAACCAGTACACGCCGCTTCGCGGCGTCCAGCCGGCAATCCAAGCCCCGCTGTCCCCGATCGCACCTCCGGAAAGGGAGTCCGCTACCATTTAGTTCTGCAAAGTTTCTCGACAACATTCGATTTTTTTTTTTTTTTTACTGTTCATCGAAAAAAAGGAAATATCGTAAATATCGCCAAATGCCTCGACAAAACAAAATGTCTGAGAAAAAAAAAAAAAAAAAGTTGGCCCACCGCGGATCGAACCCGCGTCCACTTGTGTATGAAACGGACATCCTAACCCCTATGCCATGGCACCTTTTTTTTTTTTTTTTTTTTTTTTTTAACACATTTATTTACATATTATTTACAGATGATTTCCACTCGCAGGTGGTTTGCACAACAGTTGAACAGATAGACTTACAAAGCAGAACGAACTTGACCGTCACTGGCCCGAGCAAAAAACAGAGGAAAGATACGTTATATGGGCATGGGCATGACGTATTTACAACACAACAGGGCGCCCCTGCGCAGCGCGCCCCTCACTCAGCTTCCCCGCACTGGTTCTCGCAAGGTAGCCGCCAAACCCCACCACGCTGAGGCCGGTGCCTACGGCGGATACCCCCGGCCTCCAGCTGTCTTTCCACGCACCGCCACTCGTCGGTCGCTGTGCTTGTCCCCCTGTCAATCAGTGATATCACCCAGTCCAGCTTGGCCACGAAGTAGTCCCAGGTTGGGCGTGCGTCTATGTGGCATTGCACCATCGCAGTGCGCGATTGCCAGATGGCGTGCAGTCCTAGTAGCGCCAACACATAGGTCACCTCCGCCGTCTCCCTGCCGCCTAGAGCCAGATACTTGAGGTTAACCCACTCTACGTCGAAAGCCGTTCTTAGGTTGAAAATCGTCCTCATCTCGTCCCAGAACAGGTAGGCGTTCGAGCACTCGACGAGGACGTGTGGGATGGTCTCGGTGGCACCGCAGAGGTCGCAGTTGAGCGACCAGGGCACAAAAATCCCCCTCCGGTGCAGCCATGTTTTGACTGGAAGCACCTCCAGATGCATGCGCACAAAAAAGTCCTTGCTGGCCGCAGAGACAGGGAGACGGCGCACGAGCTTGAAAAGTCCTGCTGTGCCGTCGGGTACTGGCGGCGGCCTATACAAAGGTGATGGAAAGGTCACAGAAACTGTGTCCCAGTAGAGTTTTCTTTTGCCGACGGTCGCCAAATAGTCCCAGGAGAACCGAGCCAGGAAGAACTCGATGGAGGCCGCTATTTCGCTGTAAAAGCGCAATGCGGCTGCCTTCGCTGTGCGGCCACTGGTGGTCACCATCCATCTTCCCAGGTAAGGGAAGCCGAGGTGGTGTAGCGCACTCAGGAGAACGGGGTCCTTTGCGTCCCGGAAGAGGAGAAAACGATGTACATGTAGCTTGAGCACGATGTTTACCAGGCCAAGACCTCCGCCCTCCTGGTGTAGAAAGAGGTGCTCCCGCCGTGTCCGTTCCATGGATGATTTCCAGACAAAGACGGCCCAGCTTCTGTGTATCCTCTTGGCCGTCACTCCAGGGCAGCATACGGCCTGCGCCCTGTAGAGAACGGCTGGGTATATGACAGCGTTGCATACGTAGGCACGGTTGAAAAAGGAGAGATGTCTGCACTGCCAGGGTGAGAGCTTGGATGCTACCGAGTTGGCAGCCTTTTTCCATACTGTGGAGGAAGGTCCCTGTGGGTCAATAGGAACACCGAGATAGTTTCCGACTGACGTGGTCCAGCCAATCCCTGCGAAGAGCTTTGGCGTTGTTGCCCATCCCCCAAGCCACGCTCCCACCGACTTTTCCCTGTTTATCTCCGCGCCTGCTGCGACGGTGAAATTCTCCACATGCCGCAAGATGGTCTCCACCTGTCTCTTGGAAGAGCAAACGAAGGACACGTCATCCGCAAAGGCTAAAACGCGGACATTCTCGTTTCCTAGTTGTAGTCCCGTGATAGTTTGGTCTTCATTGATCGCGCGACATAGTGGCTCAAGCTGCAGCGCGAAGAGAATTGGCGAAAGGGGGCATCCCTGATGGACCGACCTCCCTATGCGGATGGGCGCTCCCCTGTCTCCGTTGATGAGTAGGCGTGTGCTGATGTCGCGGTAGCAGAGGGCTATCCACCCCCGCAGCTCCTCCCCCACACCGAAGTGTTTGAGTGCTGCACGGAGAAATTTATGAGACACCCTGTCAAACGCTTGACGCAGGTCCAGCTGAATCACAGCGAGAGGCTCGTGACCCACAGCGGTCGCCTCGCAGACGGAGCGCATGGCGTGCAGGTTCCGCGCTATCGATCGGCCACGGATCCCGTAGCTCTGATGGGGCCCTATGACGGATCTAAGCCCAGTGTCGAGTCGTCTTGCCAGTATCTTGGCTAGAATCTTGTAGTCACAGCAAAGTAGGCTGATCGGGCGGAAGTCAGTGACCTCAGCTATAGGACTTGTCTTTGACTTCTTCGGTATCAGTGCCCTACCGGACGCAGAATTTTGCTGAAGCACTCGAGGGAACCGTCGGCATGAAGCACGTGGTTGGGCTGGGAGCTTTTCAGTTCAACCACGTGTGGATATGCACGCTGGACTCCGCTGATGCAAAGGAAGGCCTCGTGGCCCTGAAAGAAGTCACTGTGAAAGGAAAAAAGTGCGTGGTCATTGACCCCAATGTCAAGGAGGCCGTCGTCCGGGTCAACTGGCTACCGACGTACGTGACCGATGGAGAAGTGTGCGCAGCATTCGCGGAATATGGAAACGTAACACGAATCACCAGGGAGAAGTGGAAGTCCCCAAGTGGAACTTACGAAGTCGAAACCTCGGCAAGGGCAGTGACAATCACCATGAAGGAAGGAACTGCAAAGGATGAGCTACCACACCAGGGAAAAGTGGCCGGGTACCCTGTTCTAATATCTGTCCCAGGCCGACCTCCGATGTGCCTCCGCTGCAGCAAGCTGGGGCATATGCGCAAACAATGCCGGGCGCCTTGGTGCCGCCATTGCCGAGGTTATGGTCACCTGGAGTCTGAATGTGTGCCCACCTACGCCGCCAAAACCAGGCGACATGCGGACACGCTTCAAAACAGCGACCTTCTGGACGACGGTGAGGTGGGTGAAAGCGAACCTGCCGCCAACTCGATGGAGGCGGTAACACCGGCCGAGGGGGGGTAACGAGGAGGAGCCAGGACCCGAGGGAAAGGACAAGGTGACGGACGTTGCGTCCACCTCCAAGAACGCAACTTCGCTGCCGCAGGTTCCAGCAAAGGTAGACAACCCTAAAGCGTCGAGCACCGTGGAACAAGGGAAACGCGCAAGGGGCTCTAACGAGTCCAACAACGAAAGCGCGTCGGAGAGGCAAGCATCGCCGAGCGACATGCCAGCGGACGCAGCCGCTCCGGTGCGGTCTTCTCAGACGAGCGAGGAGGAAGTCGCCAAGGGCACCACCAAGGTCACGCGCCACAAATCGCGTACTAGAAAGAACGAGCAGGCGGCCATCCCAGCTCTGCGCCCCCGGGAAGTGAATGTGTCATCCCTGGACTACCCGCCGCTGCACGGGAAGGATTAGCCCCCTTCTCGGTCGGTGAGAAGAATTTTCCCTTCCCCTTGGGCGGCCTCGCCGTCGTTCCCCTCTTCACGGTCTTTTCTTCCTTCTTCTCCCTTCCGCTTCTCTTATCATCGCTTATCTCTTGGTCCCCTAGACGTCTCTATAACTAAATAAGCCAACCTAATGAACAACATTAAAATAGCCACTTTCAACTGTGTAGGCGTAACAGCACGAAAGAGGAAGCGGTTTTTAATGAATCTTCTGAACGAAGAGCACGCAGACATAATCTTTTTACAAGAGACGAAAATCTGCTCGGCAGAGAAGGCAAAGAGTTTCGTCCAATTCTTCGGGCACATCTTTTGGTGTGTACACACGCTAACCTCGGACCTGAACCGCGCCGGAGGCACCGCCGTCCTAATCAGGAAAAGTACCGGCATCCGGATTGCTCATCCTGAACTCTGCGCCGATGGACGTTTCGCGCTGGTTGACGTCTTGATCGGGAATGAACTAACGCGGCTAATATCCGTGTATGCTCCTAGCAACCCATCAGAGCGAAAGGATTTTTTCATTGGACTCCGTACACAGCTCGAGACCCCCGCGACGCTCGTCGTCGGGGGAGACTTCAACTGTGTGCTGAATGGCCGCGACCGAGTGCGCGGATCAACGGTCCCCAGAATCGATGTGGGCGCCAATACGCTTCGCGACGCTGTGCGCGACTTCGATCTTGTAGACGTGACTCAGGTGCTCGACAGTTTCTCTCCGCGCTTTACCAGATGGCAGGGTGCATCCCAGGCCAGGCTGGACAGAGTATATGTATCAAGTGAGCTATCCGACGGGGTTCAATCCTATGACGCGAAAATCGCGCCCTTCTCGGACCACGGCTTCGTCGCCACAGTTCTACGAGCAGGCGCGCCGGTGGCCGAGCGAGCGCGACGCAACACAACATGGAAGATGAACGCCAGCGTCCTGGAGAGCGAGGAGTTCGTCGGGAAAACGAGGTGTGCTCTGGAGAGGCTGGTCAAGAGCGGCGTAGATGCGGTCACCTGGGAGAGTTTTAAGGCAAATCTCCGGGAGTCGGCCTGCGCGTTTGGCCGTCGCAGGGCTGCTGAGGCACGTGAGACTCGAATCCACCTGGCCAAGACCCTGCGGATGCTTCTAGAGGAGGAGGAGCAAAACCCTGGAACGTTTGCGGACGACATAAAGAACTGCAAAGAACAGCTGCTCGGTATACTCGAAGAGCGCTACAGGGGAGCTCAAGTCAGGAGCAGAGTGCAGGCTCTTGAGGGGGAAATACAGCCTTGCAAGATCTTCCGCACACATGAGAGACAGAGGGTGAGAGAAAACACCTTAAGGGAAGTGCGTGGCGAGAGGGGCGTAGCAACATCGCAGCAAGAAATTGCGGGCGCGTTTGAGGAGGCTTTCGGGAGGTTGTTTCAGGAGGAAAACCTGGACGAGACCGCCTTCGAGTCAATTTTACATGAGTCGCCGACCGTGCCCGAAGAAGCAAGCGACCTTATGAACTGTCCAATTCGACTGTCAGAAGTCAAGCAAGCTATAAAAAGACTGTCACGCAACAAGGCGCCCGGCCCGGACGGCATTGGAGCAGAGTTTTATAAGATCTTCTCGGATGCGCTCTGCCCAATCCTGGTTCAGGTGTTCGAGGACATAAAGAAACGCAAGCTGCTCCCCCCCGTCTATGCCATGGCACCGCTGAGGAATGTCGTTGTGTCCACTCTTTTTATACGAGAAAAGCGGAGTGCGTATAGCCATTTCCGTCCGAAGCGCACTCCGGGGTGCGTATAGCTTTACTCTTTTGATATATGACCGACTTGCTCTTACGATACCTATATGCATCCCCTACACAACTATCGAAAATTAAACTTCTCCAAACAAATGTCAGGCACTTAGGTGACAACACACACACAGACGCCACAAACACAGCTGGAGCTTACTGGATAAAAGATCTCCCAAAGAGGCATTGAACAGAGTATATATAAAAACAAAAAAAGGAAAAAAGGGTGTAAGGTTTTCACAGTGCTTAAAAACTTCTGCTTATTCTTCTGTCACCGAATTTCACAGGTGTGTAAGGTAAAACGAACCTACCGAGCTGTTGAGTTCTCTGACTCTCTCGTAGGATGTCAGCCATGCTTTCCTGCTTCAATGGCGATTACTTGACGAGGCTGTAAAACATTTTTTGTTCTTTCCAATGAACTGCGATGATGTTGACGAAGTCTCACCAAGTTTTGCTGGAAGGCGCCATGTTTTGAATTGTTGCTAGGAGTCACTCGGTCACCCCGTGGGCCGCCAAACCCGCCCAAGCATGCCGACGGTGCGCTTTGTGTAATGTAGCTTAATATTGTGTGAAACATAAATAAATCAATTATTTATGATTATAATGCAATTAAATGCAAAGGTGCAAGCGAGCTGGACAGTAATGAATGGAGAGGTCCCGGGTTCGATACCCGGACCAGGCGGATTTTTTCGGTCGCGCACCAGTCACCTAGCTGTGTTTGGAGATTTGTGTTTGTCCTTTGTCTCTCTTGTTCCCCTTCTCCAGGGATTATTTTCATCACAATTATTTATACTCGTAAAACTTTTATATTATTAAATATTGTTTTAAAGTTTTTTATATCTTTGTAACAAAACTAGTTGTAAATACGTTGCGCCATCTGTTTTGTTTAGGAAGTTCGCGAAGTTTGTAGTTTACGAAGTATCAGAATCAGAAGAAGCGCCAAATTCGCTCGTCTTCTAAAGCGTTTCCCGACTTTTCTTCCAATGGTATGTCATTTATTTCTGTATCTTGGACATGCACTCATTGATGAAAAACGCTTCATCTTTTTAGCGTAATGTTGTTCGCTTTTCCCATTTGAGAAACGCTACATTTAATGTCCCGTGTTCTCTCATTGCAGTCGAAGCGAAAGGGCGTCAGCGCCGAAGAGAAGAGGCAACGCGTGCTACAGCTTTTTTACGAGAAAGTAAGCATCTGCTCGCTGAGCAAATAAACAAGAACTGCGTTTCGCAACCAATCACTTTGTGGTCCGATGACTATCCAGAACTCGCTTAATGCACATACTTGTGTTGTTCGACATAACTCTTTCTACTTTTCACACTTTCTCCTGACATAAGTCGGATTGCGCTGTATACATACAAGTGTCGTCATTTCGGGGGACTGCCTGTTAGTCCCCCGAAATGACGATTTCGGGGTACTGTTATTACTGTTATTTCTACTTAATGGTTGCTTCGAACTACAACTTGTGCGGTGTGAAACTAACGCCGTAAACCGAACGCTCGCGGCGCATAAAATACTGGCATGGCCGCGAATGGCTTCACATGCAATTGGCTACCCAGAGAGACATCATGGTCCCATATACGTCCCTAGGGCGTGCGTGGTACATTGCGATCTCTGGAGGGCGTTTGCAGGACAGTGTGTTTTGCTGCGAATGTATGCCCCCTCCCTCCCCTGTAACGAGTAAATGATTTAATGTTCCTCTCCCAAAAGCCATTTATTGGCACACGGTGAGAACACGCCACAGACATGGGCACCACTTAACGAAATAAACAGTTCTGGAGTATAGGTTTTATCAGGGGAACGTGGTCATCCATCGTCTTCCATTTTGCCATGCTACGTGGCAGTTGCATTTGCTGAAACATTTACAAAGGGTTATCCAGATATTAAAGGTGACTCACATTTATTGGTATTGTCACTGACAGGATGTGAATGACAGCGCATCCAGCACACGCTCGTCGCCTTTTATCTGGTTTTTACCTGCGCATGCACGCTGGAGGCTCGTGAGGTGCCGAAGCAGCAGCTCGGGAACTCATGCTGGAGGTGGGACAAGTGAAGCAGAGCCGTATATCTAGAGAGTTCGGTCATAAATTGGTAAGAATAGGGCGAAAATAAGGGCACATCCTTGGCCGCAATTGTTTCAAATATTCTCCTAGTGGAGGCAATGAGCTTAACTTTAACCCTCCAATTACATTTTTTAGGTAAGGACGTGTTCAAGTATTTCAGTTGAGCACGCTAGAGTTGAAGTTAATTTGCGACTCTTCGTAACTGAAAGGGCAACGCATGTGACGTTGCTGTCACAGTGATATTCAGAATGCACTCAATCTTTTTTTTTTATCCGCGGCCACGGGGGAGCAGACGGTGAAAACCGTGCAACCGGCTCCGTGGGAATGTTTTACCCTAACCCCGAATGCGCACCCCATGTTTGCAGTTCTGCCTCATGTTTCGAAAAGATCTCTCAATAATGTCACTTTTCTGGCTCAGTAAATGTACTCAGCACCTTGAAACAACCTATTTCCATCAATCGCTTACAATTATCCATTCATGTACTTTCAGCCTCGTTCAGAAACAAAAAACTTTTGCAGGATCATCACGGGGAGAATATGCGGTGCTGGTGGCGGCACCACTTTCGCCGCTCCACCCCAGCTCTCGCTGGCTCCTCCCATTGACCGAGTTCTCTTTATATACGGCTCTGAAGTGAAGGACCTCACCGCCATTCTCATGAATGGATGGGGGCTGACGGCTTAACCCTTTGTAATGGGCGATAGCTTGTGCCACTTAGCCTGGAAACTAAAAACCAAAAGTATGATTCCTATCCTCGCCTTTCTAAACCAATTTGCTTCCCCTCTGCAATTTTGTAACCATCACCATATGGTATGAGATATCACCAGGGCCGTACACAGAAAATTTCTTTGGGGGGGTTTTCTGGAACACGGTGGCCATCTTAAATGGCCATTTTTTGTATTTACTTTTTTAAAAACGGAGGCATGTGATCGGACTATAATTAACAATAGCGAGCAACGAAATGTTTCACATGCACCATCACAGCGGGAGTGAATTGTTTCAAAGCTTACTTTCAGCTTACGACAAAATTTATTTATTTGACTAAACTCCGCCCCAGTAACCATGGCTTGGGTTAGAGGAACCGGGGGTAAGTGAATAAGAAAAATATATGCAGCCATACTTGACCCAGCTCCCTAACCGCAGCCCCGCACATCCTCCGCAGGGTCCGGTGACACTCGGAACCCCTGCAACTATAGACACAGCTCAAAACAATCTTCGTCATTCTCTTTCCACCCTCTTTTCACCGCGCGAAACACCCCATACCCCCGGCAGGCCCCTCAAAGCCCCTCAGGCGTCGCACGCTCGCGGTGTTCTGGGAAGTTGGACTAACGAACAGAAAACCGATACGAGCCTCCTTCAAACGTACGTGTTTATTGCTCAAGCGAACATTTCCTCCGTGTCACCTTATAACGGACCGCAGAGGGCGCTACGAGCCATCCCAGCCAATCCAGCTCAGAGTGTCATGTTACCCTCTATGGTGTGCTATGCGAATCTCAAGGTCATGTGATTCTCTCTCAGCCCTCCAGTGGCGAAGACGGTCTCTGGCATCCGCTATGGTCCACTGTGCGGGGGAACGGAGCGTGGCACGAGGATGGGGAAGCGAGGCGCCCGGGGATCTTCTTTCGAGGGGGATGGCACCCAGGCACTTGGATGAGAGGGGAAAACAGGAGGGCACTATCGGAGGGGTTCCGAAAAGACCGGTCGTGGCCGGGTGCGTTGCGGTTTTCGGGGCGCGGCGAGCACACACTGGAATTCACGCGCCTCTGGTTAGCAGTAATAGTAAGGAGTTCTGCGTTGTATATACAGGCAAACAGGCACCCTTAACAGCTTCGTTGGAACTACAGCGGGTCCCCCACTGGGTCTCCCGATCCAGTGACTTTAGCGAAATCAAGGCCACCCCGGGACTCTTTCGAAATGCGCCCCATCGCTCCTCCCTTCCCCAGCCAACAGTGAAAGGGGGGGGGGGGGGGGGGGGGCACTCAAATATATTTTTGGGGGGGGGGGGAGGGGGTCGTTCGAACCCCGAAACCCTCCCCCTGGATATCACTAAGATGACCTTTCGGGGATCGAGCAAAAAAACTAAACACATCACGTCCCCCCACTCCCACCCCCTTCCTTCCCCCGGCGAGGAAGTAGCCAAGTTTCCTCCAGTCAAAACCTAGTTGATGTTATTCCAACACCAGGCGCACTGGGAGACAGAGTTGTCATCTCACTAGATACATGGTTTCCTTCCCTTTCAGAAAGATGTGTTCCAGCTGAAGGAATTGGAGAAGATTGCTCCCAAGGAGAAGGGAGTCATTGCACAGGCCGTCAAGGACGTCGTGCAGTCCCTGGTCGACGACGGCCTGGTCGACTCCGAGAAAATCGGCACTTCCGTCTACTTCTGGTCCTTCCCGAGTAAAGCCATTAGCACGGTTAGTCTACCATACTGCCGCAGCTGAATGTTGTGTACTTTTGACTAGCTCTTATTTCTTTGAATAGTAAAGGCCGTCTCACATTTTCATTTGAGTGCAATCGACTGCATTACAACGGCTTGTAACTGCTTACAGTGAGAGAACACGCTGGAACACTGATGCCATCCATGATGCAGTTCTGAAAATACTTCCAGTCTGTGCATAATTGGGCTGAAGGCTTTCTGGTATTTGTCAGTTCAAGTCCAGAAAGATGTGTTCCAGCTGAAGGAACAGTTCTTTGGATGGTTACTCATTGTCTATGAGAAATGGCAGTTTTATAACATTGGCAGGATTATTTCCAGCCCACGGTGAAATGATGGGCCGTTAAAGAAGAATGAGGAAATATGCGCAAATCGGATGTGTTCCAGGGCTACTATACATGTTCTCTCATGAGCGATTATAAGCAGTCAACCACAAATGTGTGAACCAGCTTTTAGGCGTTACTTCTCCTAAAGGTGCTTTCGGTTGGTCTGTGCATCTGTTGAGTCTGAAATGTGGTGGTGTTACGCTGCGTAATGAAACACGGGCAACCGTACATAGACTTTGAGCATGGTGCATGCTTTTCCTCGTAGACATCTTGGGTTAGTGTCATTGGGGAGACTGCCCACTGTGCTCGCGCTAGGAACGTAAACAGCTGCATTTGATTTTATGCTTACCGGTGATATTTTCTGCATATTTGATACATGCTCGTGAGCTTCTGTAGTACTTGACTTTAGTTTGCATCGTGAAACTATAGTTATTTTCAGGTGACTCTTAGTGACTATGCTCAGGTGGCGATCGATACATGACAGACTGCTCTCATGCTTTTACAGAGGAAGCGAAAGATAGAGGACCTGAAGGCAAAGCTGGAAGACGTGTGCAAGAAGCTCAAGGCTGTGGAGGCTCAGGTGGACAAGGTGCAAGCCGGGAGAGAGGACTCTGTGCGTAGCCCCCTCCAGCATTTTTGGGGAAAGGGAAACTGCGCTTAGTCTCAACTTCATTGAAAGCTTACCCACTGGCAATCCCTAACATCCCAAAAATAGTATATTTGAGAGCCTTGTACACTCACATTAAAACATTTTTTGCACATATAATTGCAGGGTGGTGATGGCGACTTTTGCCACAAACGTAGTTGAGAGCCAGGACTTGTTCACATAGTGTGATTGACTACGTTGTAGCTGCTTAGGATAAGACAGTGGCACCACTTAGCCATTTGTCAGTTGCCCCAGGCACACTTCAAGCCGGCATATATTTTAGGCACCACTCTTTTGTTGTTAAAAGAAAATATTTCTCATAGATGTGGTGTATGGATTTTATGTGGCAGATATTGCAAAACCTTCAGTCTAGTTATGTGCAGATCAGAAAGAAGTTGCAAATGTGTTATCTCGTCGAAAGCAGTCGATCACACTCGGATGCGAACCAGACTCCTGTTCTCATTCGCTGTCCGTGCTTCTTCTCTTCTTTCACATTGTGTTTTCGGGACTCGTGGCGAATGTCCGAGTTAGAGGAGAATTGCCCTCACCCGTCTTTGCGACCTGCGAAAATGCACATCACGTCGTGAACTGCCCGTTTCAGTCGGAGCGCACACAACTCCTGGGCACCCTTGCCGAGACGGAGGCCGAGTGCCAGGCGCTCAAAGCTCAAGTGCAACAGCACAGGGACTGCGACCCCGAGGTGCTGGAGGAGGTGAAGGCACAGGCAGTCATTGCCAAGGAAGCCGCCAACCGGTGGACAGGTAAGTTTCATTCGCTGCACCGCACGGGTGTTTGGATTTGAGTTTTTCATCTTTCCGGACCGTATAACAGTGTATAGACTCTTTTTTATAAAGGTGCCGGAAGGAGGCACTGTTGGCAATTGACTTCCCGCAAACTTCCAGTCAAATGAGGGGGCAAACCAATCCTCACCGTAGCACCGGTTCTTGTAACGGTCGTGGAATATTTTGTGATCGGTTTTTGTGACCGGCAATTATCAGTATTTTATTTTAGGAGGTAAATTTTACAGCGTATGTATATCGCCATTTGTCCGTCGCTGTGTGTCAATGTCAATCACCGTGCAAGCGTAGCCGTGTGTTCATTGCTGGTACCACGGCGCATGCGCCGGCGAGCACAAACCTGAAAAACAAAATGCTTGTGCCAGCTGCGAAGTTGTGGGGGTAGAACCCAGGTTCCTGTGCTTCTGAAGTATTAATCCACTGGGCCACGAGTCTTTATGTTCTCTTTAATACATGGAAATAAAGCCTGTGACTCCAGAATATCAGGTCAAATGCTCATTAACAAGACAACTAAGGATCATGGCCCAAGGGGGCACGAGCCCCGATGCCCCCCCTTAGTCTACGCCTATGACTATGTACTCATTTCATGTCACAGATGTCACCATAAAATAATGCTACAAGTGCAAGATTGAAATAATGTTTTCATGGCATCATATTGGTCATTTTATATTGAAGTGGATGATGCATGCTGATGCAATATTTCTGACAAAAAGTTTTAGAAACATCAAGATTCTCTTTTAGAATGTGAGGGAAAAAAAAAAGCACACAATGAACCGGTTAGTTTGAATATTTAGGAAATCACAAAACCTGGCAAAGACCAGAAGAAAATATGCAAAGAAAATAAAAATGCTGCCCTATGGTGATTGAGTGTGGTGCATATGGTTCACTCGACACAGCTTGAGCAATGCGTCCAAAAATTGCATTTAAAAATCTGCATCTGATATCAATCATTTTCCAAATATAATGAGCACACATCTGAATAGGCATAATGTGTTGAGGGAACATAATTGGTTTGCATTAATGTTTCATGGAAAGACTGAGAATCCTACAATTTAGTAAACAGGATAACTGGGCGAGTTGGTATGGATTCATAATGGAACAGCGCGAATTTTGCAAGGACAGAGGAAGGAACTGGACAGGACGAGCGCTGACTAACAACTGAAAGGTTTATTCTCAGAAAACCACGAAGAAAAACATACGACAACACGACTCTCTAATCACGATGGAAATGCGCATGCGCCTCACAAAATTGGGTGCTATCAGTTACACAATGTTATATGCGTCATCCCCGGTCTAAAAATTCGACCTCATTGTCCAGCCGAGAACACAACAGGTGTTGTGCCTGTTGTGCCGAGAACACAACAGATGTTGTGTTCTCGGCACGTAACAAGCTAAGCAGTATTTGCTCTGCAGTGGAAAAGCGCATTAACAAGGTAGAGAAACAGGGGGAGAGCCCGTGCGGCATAAAACACCGCATTGAGTTCGTGCCATGCACCTTGGGTGTAGTATACAAGATACCCTTCACCTGCGGGAAGGTATACATTGGACAAACGGGGCAGTGCCTCAACATTCGCCTGCGGGAACACCGTAGTTCTTTAACAGGTACGGCAAGCTCCCACTTGGCGTTACACTGCAGGGACTGCGCCAGCACCCCGTTACTTGAAAAAGCCGTTGTTTTGTATAAACACAGGGACCAAAAAGCTCGAGAGATTGTTGAAGCTCATAGAATAAAGAAGGAGGGGTCAGCCTGCGTGAGTCAGGCTTCCTTGAATTTGCTGGACAATGAGGTCGAATTTTTAGACCGGGGATGACGCATATAACATTGTGTAACTGATAGCACCCAATTTTGTGAGGCGCATGCGCATTTCCATCGTGATTAGAGAGTCGTGTTGTCGTATGTTTTTCTTCGTGGTTTTCTGAGAATAAACCTTTCAGTTGTTAGTCAGCGCTCGTCCTGTCCAGTTCCTTCCTCTGTCCTTGCAAAATTCGCGCTGTTCCATTATGAATCCTACAATGTTGACTTCCTGTATTGAGCCACTATTTTTGTTGTTTGTTTAATGAAACATAAAAAAGATTTCGGGGCTCTGAGCCTTTCATATCATCGACCAAACATCCAACATATTGGAGCCCGGCACCTGCATGTTTCAGAAAGCTTGTAGACACTTTACTGCGAAAGATATGTTGGCCAGCACCGAAATACACTGATAAATGTATTCCATATGTTAGTGCACTAATGGTTGGCGATTATATGCTGATTCTGTATGAATACAAAAACTGTAAATAAGCTACATAAAAAAAAAAAAAAATCCTAAAGCAAACGGTACAGTTGGAAAGGGCTCACTGGACAGTTGCTTTCTTCGATTTGTCCCATCTGTTGTGCACTTTCTTCATTGTGTCGATCAATCAGCAACTAGCCCTGCGGAACACTATTTTATTTTATTTTTGCATAAGCTAGTTTCATCACTTTCGTAGCACATGAATGAAAGTGTGACCTGTTTTTATAGCTATATGATCTAAAATTGCGAGACGGGAAACAACCAAATTTTTATGTTTTGCTTTGCAGTCTCAGGGTTCTGTGACAATGGTACAGGTTTAACATATATGCCAATGTTTTTTTAGTGAATCGAACAGCTGTTCAGAGCTAGGGAGAGGCTCCCTATCCAGTTTTATGCAGGGTTTGATTGATATTACCTTAGATGATTGTTTCATTCTTTTATGTATGCTTCGTTTTTTCTTTTTTTTTTTTTTTTTTTTTTCAGATAACATTTTTGGGATTAAGTCCTGGGCAAAGAACAAGTTTTTCATCGAAGAATCTCTTCTCAACAAGCAATTTTCTATTCCCGAAGACTTGGATTATATTTGAAAGGGCCTATATTAAAGAGTTCAAAAGCATTAACGTTGTCAGTTCTTTTTTATGTGGTTTATTATTACGTTTCTCCCTTTCGAAAGACCAGGGAAAGTGGAAAAGTTTCAACAATCGACTGTGCGTGCACGAATAAAAGCTCCGGGGTATGATTGCCAGCGATAAACATAGGCAAACATTGAGTATCGAATAGTTAGATTTCACCGTATCGTCAATAAACACGGTCTTATCACAATGAAAGCAACGCCTGCCAAATATTGCGTCAGCAACCTAAACCAAGTCACGATTCCGGAACCGCGGGAGCCAACAGCAGCTGTTGTCCGCGACCCGTTGTGATGTCACCATGTCACGGGTCATCAGCCATCCGTGACGCCATTGCCACGTGACGGCGACTGTCCAATCGGGGCTTGCCATGGCGATTGCGGTCAGCCAATGAGCGTGCGCCACGCGCGCCGCTTCTTCCTCTCAGTTCGTTCTCGACCAAGCAACAGGATGGTTTCGTGAGAAGTTGGTCCGCGATTTTCGCCTTGGGTTGGCCGATGCCAAGCGTCAGGTATTCTCGACGATCCTAAACGCACCTTCTCTGTAGAACACATCGTCTACAATACCTCGGCGAGCCATGGGCGTCCCCAAAAGGATTCTCATCACGGCAGTGCGCGACAGGTCAGAAAAGTCGGCCACAATCATCGCTCCCCAGCATTGGAATTTAAAGACGGAAATGGAAGTCGACGTCGCCGAGACCGCTGCCAGCCCTCCGGTCAGAAAACGGCAGCGACTCGATCATCTGACCAGGGAGGAAAAGATCATGCGAAGGTAAGATAGCCGAAGAACGATCTCGATTTGTGTCAAGCGAAATCGAGCGTCCGTCACAGACGCTCGGCACTTGGAGAACCGGTTTTCTGACGCGATGAGTTTGTTTTCCGCGTCGCGATCACCTTCCGGTAGCGACGCGCCAACGACGCCACCGAAACAATTCGAGAGTTTGGAATTTTTGTCGGCGTAGTGCATTCGGCTTTAATCGTGATCGCTAGCCGCTGCCACGTTGGCAGGGAAAAAGCGGGGGCGCGTGATGATAGCATCGATGTATGACGTCAATGCGGGTAGTTGTAGCAACGGCCGTGGAGATTCGAGGATTGATTGTGCTTGCGTTCGCTCTTTGCGAGATTGCGTCAGCGCCTGCATGCGTTCGAACACCCACCGGTGGGGGCGGTGTTGGCGATTTGGCCTTTTGGCGTCTGGCGTTCGATGGAAGAGCAGCTGTTCGTATGTCTGCACCTGTGCCGAGCTTGCCAACAATAACGATGCAGGAGCCGGCAGCTTACTTCTCGAGAATACGTTCGTGACGTGATTGTTGTCACCTGACAGGAACTCAGAATTGTGTGTAAATATTCTACCCACTAAACATTCAGGCATCTCGTAAAAAAAACAAAAAAACCTCGGTAGTTTGTTAGGTTTGACAGATTAAATGTACTGCATACTTTGTACTTAAACTATTTGTACCGAAATGAACTTCGATTTTCAAACTTTGTTGTTTTCTGGGGGTGCTTGTACAAGTTCTACTTCTGTATTTAGCGTCATTTCATTGCGAAGCTATCCTTTGCAGAAAATTTATTTGCAATTTGTTTGCAAATGACCAGTGTGCTGCCACTGTTGAGCTAGGGGTTGTTAATTTAATGCACAAAAGCACTGTATTGACGTCACAGTGTGACAGTCTATTTTTGGGTGTGCAACTAATGTGAAGGAGGCTTGCACAGGGTTGCCCACTTTTCCTTAAAATTATTTGGAGACATTTTTTTTTAGGTTTCATCATAACAAGTTAAAACTTATTTTATTTTGTTGTTCCTCTTATCTGCTCCTTACCAAATTTCGTTGCACTCCCTTTATTCCGAAATTATTCCCAAATAATTCCAGTGGCCTCTCTCGTCGCTGCTGCGCAGTAGAAGCTAAATGAAAGCACTTTTGCTCACACTACAGTGGCTTAAAGGGGGTAGTGTGGTTATCGCGTAGCCTCCACCATGCATCGGGAACGGCCACTCCTTGGAAGACGATGTAGGTGGCGCTTCGATACGCAGCTCCGTTGGGTGCCTCAATCGGCCGGCACATAGAGGCACCCTAACAAGCTCCATAACTAATATAAATACATCAAAAACAATTATTTGTTTCCAGTGAACTTCCAACGACATGGTTTGTGTTTGAAGGTGAATAAAAAATGTGAAACTAGCAGACGACAGTGTAGTCGACAGCTGCGAATCGGCCGGAGCCATAGCCGGAACGACTGTGTTGAAAGCGCCAGCGCCACCCGCGGCCGTCTTCCAACGCTGTGCCGCTTCTCCTGTTTCGTTCGTTACACTACCGCCTTTAAGCCACTGTACTCACACTGTGAAAGATTCTACTTCTACAGTCTGGATGCAGAAAGGCTTTGACACATATTTTATAAGTCCCAGAATTGTTATTAAAAAAATGTTGGAACCCTAGCCACATTGTTTGATGTTCATAGCTCCACTACTTTTTTAGTTGTTGATCCTAGTTCGTTATAAAGAAAGGTTTCTTTTTTTATTATTATTTATACTTCATTGCATTCTTAGTTCTAATATGTCATTTTACAAAGATACCTTCTCAGTGATGTTTGTTAGTCATCAAAATATTGTGTGTACAATTTTCCTTGCGAGTTTACTCAGAACTGGGCTATCAGTTGCTTGTCCGCCCAGTTTATCGTTCGGCGACTGACTTTGCACTGTGCTTTGTAATTTCAGAAAACTCAAGAACCGGGTGGCTGCCCAAAGTGCAAGGGACCGGAAGAAGGCTAGGATGGACGAGCTGGAGGAGCAAGTCACTGTGCTTCAAGCTGAGGTTCGGTGCCAGTTCATTTTTGAATGTGTGTCGGCTCTACACAGTTTTCTTTTTGCTAAAGCTGATTTCTGTAATTTTTCTTTTCTGGAGCATCATGTTTATATCTTGAGCATAAGTTCTTTCCTTCACTCTTTGTTTCACAAGTCTAGCCACAGCCCACGCTACGATCCGGCAAAGCCAATCAAGCAGTGCCATAAGTGTATTGTCATGTTGGTCATAATCTGAGTGTTTTCTATTGCTGATTTGACCAATTGCACACATTGAATGTGCTTTTCTCTGTTTGGACTGGTCTAGCCTGTGTTTGCGAATCCTCGGAGTAAACATGCGCCATGATGGTGCACTTTTGCCCTTGCTTGATCGACTTGATTGGCCGAGAACTCTAAAGTTAAACGGATTGTAGGTGGTCTTGTACATAGCTTGCATGTGACGTCATTCGTGGCCATGTCAGTATTTTATGCGCTGTTGGCGTTCGGTTCGCCGTGTTAGTTGCACACTGCAGAAGTTGTAGTTCGAAGAGACCAGTAAGTTAAAATGACCGTCAGTACCCAGCAAGCTATGTACTGCAAGTTTTGACCATCACAACAGCTAAAGCGCCATACGCACATTCGCGTTTGAACGCGTTTGAGTGCGTTGCGGAGTCCATGCGGCCAGGCGCAGTCGCTTGCGGACCGACGCGCGCCTTCCCGCAACGCTCGGTAGCACGACGCAAGCGAGTAGAGACTCGTTCAACTTTCCGAAGCGTTGCGGTGCGTTCGGGCGCGTTCGACCAATCAGAAGCCGAAAGAGGCGAGGGGTGACGTGTTCGCTCGCCCCACCCGGCCGACTCGGCGAGACGTATCCGGTTCGCCGGTCGCAGAGCTTGCTTTTGGGGAGCGGTGGAGACTGTATTTTCCAAGGCTGCGATGGTTCAAGCTTTACAAAACGTCGAGGAAGCCGGCGAGATTGTCCCAAGATCGAACGCTTCGACGCTGTCGCCGTGCGCCGCCATGTTGCCTTGGATTTCGCTTACTATTGGTGAGCCACTAGCGACAATAGCGCGTTCTTATTGGCTCTTGACTGCGGTTGACTGCGTGTCAACGCAACTGTGCGTACAAGTTTGGCGCAAGCGGACTTCGCAACGCAACGCGTCCGCTTGCCGCTACGGAACGCACCGCGCTCAAACGCGAATGTGCGTATGGGCCTTAAGAGTTAAGAGTGGAGGCTATCTGTAAATAATGGTACCAAGTTGCGTGACTGCATAATAGGCTGTCTTCTGTAACGGAGGATTGCTCTGGGCACTTGGGCCACTTAACCCTCGCAATAATTTTTGCTGTAAGATGGTCTATTTCTGGATGTTGGGAAAGGAGCATTGTCCTGGGATCAGGAATGAAACTGGAGTTTGAGCTCGACACAGCCTAGGTCTAAGGTGTGGGCATCCTCATTTTTATTTGTTTTCTTCTCAACAATGTATAGCTGGTTAGGATGCTGGGACGGCCAGCCCATGGGTGCCAAGTCCTTTTCGAGGTTACGTCTGACAATGACTAGTTAATCGGTTTGACAGCAACAAGCAATGAAACTCTTTGCAAGGTGTGCACAGAGTGCAAGGTTAGAATGGGTAGTCCTCCTGACCTGCATGTTTTTCTTGGTTGGGTGCAGAGAAATGCGTTGGTTGCGGAGAACAAGCTCTTGCGTAAAAGGCTCCAGCAGTGCGAGAAGGAGAAGGAAAGGCTCAACCAGAGGCTGGAGTCCCAGCCCTCTTCCCCTCCTGCCATCATCACACCAGTCAAGACAGAGGTGGGCAGTCCCTCACTTGTGTTTTGGAGGGGGTATCTCGCACTCCCTAAAATTGGGAAGGAACCCGGATTATAAATACTTTGTCTAGTGTACCTGGCATAGTTGCATCCTTTTATTGAGATACCTTCCATCGTAAATGTTTAAGAAGTTATAAGCTTGGCCCTTTGTATCATAAGGCTTTCAAACAGTTGTGGTGTGCACCACATTCTGCTCGTTCTGTAGCAAAGATCCATTCCTCTGTGTTATGGAGGGTGAGAGCATGTCTGAAATGTAGCAGTAGTAATTGCAGAGCTCTTATTACAAGCCTGGCCACAATTGACGTGATTTATTGGGGAGGAGGTCGAACAGTCATGCCTCTAGTGGTATGCTTCAGCTGTGGGGACAACAAACCAAATTTTATTGTTTGTTTTTGATCAAAGAAATTGAAGATAACGATTTGAAGGCCGCTCCTCGTGCAATTAAAGCACTGGTCAGGCAAGGGTTCAATTTTTTTGTTATGCCATGTTAGTAAATAACGGGCTGTGGGGACAAGCCTGATAAAGCATGCCCTATAGAGGCTTTACACACGCGCCAGAATACAGCCGCCATTGCTGACCTTCTCTTGTCTTACGGAGATACTGAGCCACTGGAACGGGTGTTGACGAGTTTCCAGAAAGGTCAATGCTGGGAAGAAGGACACAATGGAATCTAAGATGGCAAAAACCTGGACTGCTATGGTAATGACGAAGTGATGAAAATGGAATAAGCGGAAACAAAAACTGAAGGTCAGTTATGGCGGCGCCCATGCACAACTGCTGTAAAGCGTCTATAGTTATATCTCCTGCCCAATACTCAAAGGGAGGGACACAGACACCCCCCAAAAAGTTTTTGTTTATTTTTTGTCAGGCGATTCCTTATTTTGCTACAGCGTCACATGCTTTTAATAAAGTAAAAAAATGTTGCTGCTCCGGACCAAAACTGGGGTGGGAGAAAAAATATAGAGGAGAGAGTTGCCAAACGTCACAAGGCTGTGCAACTCTTTTTTTTTTTTTTTTTTTTCAATCAGCATATTTGCAGTTGTTTAGAAGCCAGAAGAAAAAGGGGTATCATATTTTTTTTTTTTTCTATTTTTAATAACAAGTGTGAGCCTTCAATGACCCACGGCTTTGATTTTATTTGGTGGTCGTGTCTGAACCATAGAAAATGGCCCATGACCACTGAGACGAGAGCGAGCATGGCTCAAATCGGCCAGTTCTCGATTGGCGGTTTTCGGGTGGAGAGTAAACTTTTGAGCCGCAAATTGTGTTCTGGGTAGTTGGGCTTTCATGTGTCATGTGCAGATAAAAAATCTTGGTGAGCATAAATACCCTGTCAGTGTCCCTTTAAGCCGAGGCTGCAGCCAAACCTACAAGTGCGAACTAGTCTGTGCTCCAGGCTTTGAGACATGCTTTTCTAGCATGACCGTTCGTTCTGTGGAAGAATGTTTCAAAGCCTTGATATCATGCTCGTAACATTGGCTGCAGTCTTAGCTTAAGGGTGAATGGAGTATAGTGTCTTCTTTACAGAGCATTGTGACGACTCTGCACTGGTTGAGAGTGTCAAGAGTTGCGGGTCTCGTTCAGCTGGTGTAAGATGCACCCTCATAGTTTCCCTCGGTCTGTGTGTTCCAGCCGTTGCGGCCAGCGTCGCCCACGGAGAGTGTAGCCAGCAGTGGGGCCATTGAGTATGCATCGCTCATTAGTGGACCTCTGCAGAAGGATCAGGTTCTGCTGCTGACTCTTGCTCTCTGGATGACGCAATACGGCTTCTGGCATCTGATGATGAGGTGAGCCTGGCTTCCCCTTTGAACTGCTTACACGGCTATTTTTGGGTAGGTGCTGTTCGTTCTGCCAAAGTGAGTTTAGGCTTCCCTCGTATTTTCAACTGATAAAGTATGAAACCTAAATTTGGTAATTACTTTTAGAAAATCATTCGAGAGTAACTTCTTCCTTCAGCATGGCTTGTTCAAGTATGTTCTTGCTGTCAATCCACGTAACGTCATTGGCACACACTATTGCATACATTGTGATAATTGTGGACTTGCGTTTTTCAGTTTCGACGTAACGAGAGTGCAGGTTATTTCCCGACATGTAAGCTCATGGTTGACTTTCCCGTTCCAGTGTGATGACCTCTTTGCACTGCTACAAGAGTGCAGCGAAAACCTTCTCGACCTGCCCATCTCCGATGACAGCACTCCTGCTCCTGTTCCTGTTGAAGCAGGGGGACAAGCCAGAGAGCCGGTGGGTGTAGCTGTTGTTTTGCTCGTTCCCCTCTTTATTGCTGTGTGAACCAAATCTGTCCGTAGCCCTTTCTTGACCGATTTTCTCAAAAGCAAGTTGTAACAGGATTATGTTTCTGTTAGGGGCTTCACTGAGCTCTTGAATGATGTCAGTGAGATGCAGACTGACGGGTTTATGATACATTTAAGATTTATTGCTGGCTAATGCATATTATCAGTTGGATGAAAAAGTTATTTGGGAGACACTGCTTTGGAACAGGTCAATAAGGAAAGAATGGGATCGTTACATGTTTTCTTTGATAAAAAGCCACCGTCAAGTCCTCGCTCGTTGAAGTCTAATTAGGAGTTTTTCAATAAGATGTTTATTTTAATCTGAAACCCTCACGGTCAACAAACTTCCCCGCAACTTCTTTTCCCTTTTTGCCAACGTACGTACCAATGCCTACATTGCATTCCTTTCTTCCCTGCAGCTTGGTCGAGAACGTACACCCCCAGCGTGTTTGGTGGGGGCCTCACCAGAAGAGCTGGACTCCATCAAAGAACTGATCCACTTCGACCATGTGTACTACAAACAGGAGGACAGCTGCGACGTAGCCACCAGCGATGCCGACATTGTCATGGAGGACTCCTCAGCAGCACTGGAAGCAGCAGCAGCAGCATCCTCGCAATCAGGAAGCCCCCCCGCCTCTCCGTTCCCCCAGAGCCCCCGCTCGCCACCCCCCACTCCCGGCTCCGCGTTCGTGGAGTTGGAAGATCCCGTCGTGGTGATAGAAGACGACGACGACTGCACGACGTTGGAGCTGAAGTCCGGGGTGACTTCTCCCTCGTTGAGTGCCTTCCCCCGGGACCATTCTCCCTTCAGGACTGCCCCCAGCCCCTCCCTGAGCGTCGAGACCGGCTATGAGTCGGCGGTGTCTCCTCTCAGCGACTGCAGTCTCCGAGACGACAACCTGTTTGAGGATTCTCCCTGGGATGACTCGCTTACAGAACTGTTCCCATCCCTGGCATGAAGTGTCAATTTCACGCGTTCTTAATTTATGAACTTTATAGTTTTGAGAAGCCATAGGAAAACCACCTGTACATACTGTAATATAAGGGAATTTTTATGTTATCAGTGCTGCTGCTTGTTCTTGTATGATAATTAAAGCTCTCTGGTTCGTTTACGTCGCATAAGTGCTCCCCATGTTCTTTGCGATGACTTCCAGTTGAACTAAGCTTCAAGTAAAATAGGAAGTGAGGTGAATCACTGAAAGTTATTGTGAATGTTTGGGGTAAGTGTTCTGCCACTATTTATTCACTAGACGCCATATTTGAGGTAACTGCTCACAGCGCATGCCCGGAAAAAGTTTCCCGTAAGCTCTCTGGCAACCGCTCGAGAGGAGGGGAAGGAGAAATCCTCTTATCACCGGGACTCTGCTTTGTAGGTCCCAGGCTTCCCCAAACGTCGCTATTCTCCCTCTAGAAGATTATAGAAGATTAACTTGCCACTCAAAACTCGTACAAAAGCATCTTTCCCCTCTCTCTCTTCTCCGGTGGTAAGAAAGCAGCTGCGAGCTCAGCTATGACCGCCAGTGATTACTCCCTATGTGCGCGGCCAAAAGCGTCGCTGTGGTCAGCTTTCCACGATTGGCCAAACCATGGGCATATGAGATTGGTGAGATGGTCAACTTTGACGGTGTTAGTTTCGGATTGCGATGGCTCCTAGCCTCTACTGTGTTTTTTAAGCACACCATCGAACTCGTCGTCCCTCCCGATGGTAAGTAGCCAGAATAACAACTGGTGACGTCACGGCGAGGCAAATCTCAGTCGTGACATCACGGAGGGAAACCATAAGAGGGCGCCACCGAAACATCTCGGCGCTAGTAGGTTGTCCTGAAGTATACGCTAGGACGATAGTTAACCTGCATTACTGCATCGTAATATTGGGGTTGGCTTGATAGAAACATTCGGCTGAGGCTGGGTGAAAGAACACTCCAAGGGAACGCACGAGCTGAGTAGGACTCGAACCGCGTTTCGCGACGCTCGCGTGCCCCAGCCTTTGCAGTGATTTTTTATTTTTTTTTTCACCCAGTCGGCTGAGATGCTGTTGTAGCAAGCCGGCCCTCGTCTATTTTGTTTGGATAGTTCTTAATTTTATTATAATGCATCCAGACATGTACGTAACAAGTTACTTCTACCTATTTGCTTTTTACGGTAACTAGTAACATATTTAGTACTTTTTAAAGAAGGAACGAGTATCATACTTTTAAGGTCAAGTATCGAGTAACGGTGTTTCGTTACCTTTGAGGAGCAACGTGTACAGCTACGTTTAAACCCTCGTTCTAATTCGTACTAGAGTATGCGTCTGTTGCGACAAGGGAACCCGAAAAACAACTAAACAGTACTGAACGCCATATTTGAGGGCGATGTTTAGAGCGCATACTCGGAACGAGCTCACGTTAATGGGCTGCTAAGACCGACAATCTTGGTGGTGCGGAATGCACGTGGCGAAAGAGCTGTGTAAGCACGCCGTCAGCACGCGCTCAGCAGTCGAGCACACAGCTATGGCCGCCAGTGAATACGCCCTATCGGCGACGTACGCGATCGAAAGCGTCGCTGCGGTCGGCCGGCCATGATTGGCCGAATGCTGACTATGTCGTCAGCAAAGGATTTCTCATCGAAACAAATAAGAGGAATGTAAGAGCTTGAATTTCGACGGTGTTGGGAGTGTCGCTTTGAGAGGGCAATGATTTCAAGCTTCTACCATGCTAATTACAAACACCATCGAACTTGTTGTTCGCAAGGTAATGACGTCACGAGAGGGAGCCATGGGAGGGCGCCACTAAAACATCTCGCCGCTAATAGACCTTTCCAATGTTTACAAAATCACAGTCCAGCGTGCGATCTTACAGCCCAGCACGCGCTTGTTCGTCGCTTCGGAAAGCGAGGAAAGCACGCGCCATACCAGCACCTTCTAGTCAGCTTTCAAGCCTGCGCGTTACGTGACATGACGTCACGTCCCGGAGGACTGCACGGGCGCTGATTGGATGCGAGTGCCGCGTCAGCGTTCGCGCGGGACTATGGTAGGGAACGAGTCCCACGCGAACGCTGATGCGGCACTCGCATCCAATCAGGGCCTGTAGAGGCCTCCGGGACGTAACCTCATGTCACGTGACGCGCAGGCTTGAAAGCTGTCTAGGAAATGCTGGCCATACTCACGAACGCTCAAGATGGCACTGGCCACACACTCTTGTTTTGGAAACGTCTATATAGCAACGTTTATCGCTGAAAACGTCAGTCGAACTCTACAACCGGGAACAGTGGCGCCTGAAGTATTTTTTGTATGTGTGTTTGTGTGGGGTGGGTGGGGCGGGCGGGGCGGGGCTGAAGCCAAGTTCCTTGTCTTTTTTTTACTGTTTATATACTACTTTTTGCAGGTATTACAATTTGAGTTTCGTTTCTTATCCTCGCGGGTTCCTTTCTTCCTTCCACTACGTTGTGTGAAAAGCGCCTGGCGTCTCCCTACCAGGAATTCTTATAAAGCGGGGCTCTGGCCCCCCCCTGAAGTCACTAGATGTGGGACTTTAGCCCCCCCCCCCCCCCCCCCCCCCCCCCTCCTGTTCCGGTGTCCCCTGGCTGGGAATGTTCCCCCTTCGTGTACAGATCGAATGTAAACCCGGAGGTAGTCAACACGGGAAGGCAACGAATCCATTCTCATGTTCGAACTTTAGAAGCATAACTTTATTAGAGGGGAATTCCAGATTCACAACCTCGTCCTGAAGCACAACACTGCCGTTCATGGGAGCGCGTCAGTAGAATGACCCGTCACCGTCGCCGGAGTTGTATTCCCAATGAAGTGGGGAACCATAACTGATGTGAAACGAAAACAACCATGAAACAAAAGCAGTTGTGCATTTGCTCGTCAAAGCAGCGAGAAAAGTAACTCGTTGCTTTGGAGGTAAAGTAACGCGTTCCTTTTGAGAATCGCCAACGAGTAACATATTTAATTTTTGATCAAGTAACGGTATTTAGTTACTTTTTTGGGGTAACGTGTTGATGTCTAGTTTGCACTGAGATTGTTTCGATATTTCGAGCCCATTCCTCTCACACCCTAAAAACAAGGTGATGTCTATGAAACCGCGCCAATCAATGTGCCGAAATCGGCCTGTTGACTTGCTTCACAAGCTTATATGAACACATGCCCAAAGCCAACTCGGAAGGAGGGGGGGGGGGGGGGGGGGGGAGGGGAGGGGAGGGCAAGCGGCCGCTTCCTCTCCACGCCCAAAAAAAAAAAAGAAAGAAAGACGTATACAATTCTCTGTAATGCCGAATTAGAGCGCAGCTCTTGAGGATGAGGAGAGGGTATGCCCCTCCGTACCATCCCCTCCTCCTCTCCCGTTCTCCTCCCGTTTACCGGGAAATTTTCGCTAAAAATCTTGCCAAATTTAGCAGGGAAATTTTTACCGGTAAATTTAGCGGGGAAGTTTTTCCGGGTAAATTTGGCGGGGAAATTTTCCCGCTAAATTTAGCGGAAACATTTCCCCGCTATATATAGTAGACAATTTTCTCGCTAAATTTAGCGGAAAAATTTCCGCGCTAAATTGAAGGGAAAAAGTTTCCCCGCTGAATTTAGCAGTAAAAGTTTTTCCGCTACATTTAGCGGGAAAATATTCCTTCTAAATTTAGCGGGGAAATTGTTCTGTTAAGTTTGGCGGGTAAATGTTTCCGCTAAATTTAGCGGAAACATTTTCCCATAATGCAACGCGCGCGGTTACGCCGACGGCGATGACGACGCCGCTCAACCCGGAGCGCAGCCCCGGGTTGAGCATCGCACCTAAGAGTTGCGCTCTAAAATTCTGAAAGAATGCCTCGTTCTTGGTCAAGTAGTTACTATCTGGTCAACAAACCAGATTTGTGCAGCCGAAGCAGGACAGTGGATTCGGCCAACTGTTTTTCCTTAGGAACGTCCTTGGTGTCTCAATCAAAAAGAGAGAAAAACGGGAGAAAGATGAGTGGACAAGTTAACCAGACGCGAAATGTACCGACGAAGGGAAAGCTGTGCTTCTTCGAAGTAAAGAACGTAAAATGGCAGCTTGGCGGCGCGGCGTAAGATGGCAGCTTGGTAGGGTTGTGCGAATATTCGAAATTTCGAATAGTAGTTCGGAATAATGCACTATTCGATATTCGCTTCGAGAAGAACTACACTATTCGCGTTTTTCGAAATGTTGATTGCGGCGGGTTAGCCCCGTGAAGTGCGCTTCTTACCAAGCACCGGTGCGCTGCAGAGAAGCAATACCCACAGAAGCGAGCTCCGCGGGTGTTGCTTCTCTGCATTACATCGCTGCTCGGTAAGAAGCGCACTCAACGGGGTAACCCGCTACGATAAACACTGGGAAAAATAGGAATGTCGTAATTGCGTGCTTGGAAGAAAATCATACATTGAAGGCGGGATGGTGCACCCGTACCGACTGTATGTGAAAATAAATGAAGACTTTGTGAATCTATATATCTACATTGTAGTAAAAGTTACAAAATTAAACGGTTATGCAAGAGTACACTATGTTAGGCAGAGATGCCCTTACAACCTGCGTTCATCATGCGCGATTCATTCTTTTTTACGCCAGAATAAAGAAAGAATATTTTATGTAGCAAGATTCGTAAATTCACTCAATTGGGTATAGTTGGCCATTTTTATAAGATTCGTTTTATGTCGAATCCGTCGTTTACTTGCCATCCCAAGACACCTGACCTTCTGAGGTCACAGTTCATTGATATAGATAGATTAAACTTAGCTTATAAATGAACAAGTGGAACAAAATTCACAGGTTTAGACAGGTTTAGCTGAGGTTTCGTCTAAGCATTATGCAATGGTAGTGAAAGCATCTGAAAAAGCGCGAAAAACAACTGCACAAGGACGAGGAAGTATACAGACAAGAGCGCTCTGTCTACTTCCTCGTGCTTGTTTTTTTTTCTTTTTTTGGCGCTTTTTTAGGTGATCATGAACCAACTGGTCCAAATTGCTACCTTAGTGTTACTGAAAGACGTGGAAAAACTATTCGATATTTGAATCGAAAATATTCGGTCAAAACCACTATTCGCTTCGAATTCAAAATCCACTATTCGCACAAGACAACTTGGCGTTCGAACCAACACACGTTGGGTCGAACGTCACGACGCTGTTTTGCAGCTCA